CTACCATAAAATACAGTGAATAAAGTGGCTACAGAATGACTCCCTCACAGCCATATCAAGAGTAATTTCAGTAATGTCACCTTTCATCTGCAACATCATCACAGATTGTCTTGTTTTGGCATAATATGGGAAACACCGCTCCACAGCAGCCTTACTACAGATAGAGGTGATGTAAGGATGTGTCCTTAGCAAAAAGGATGTGGAAAACCTTGCACTGGAACAAGGATATTGTAGTGGTAAATTTTAAATTAGCCTTGCAAGTTACTTGGGAAGGCCCTGAAATATAGTTTACTTAGGATTACAATCTTGGGCTCCAAAAAAAATCAAGATAACATTGGAGTTTCCTGTATCTTTTTGGCTGTCATCTAGTAAGTGTTAGTAACCCAGATACCATATTATATGATATCAGATATCAAATGTTTATACATCTCTGTAATAAATCTATTATTTTCATAAGTTAAAAATAGTTGGAACAATAGTTGAGACAACCACTATTACTTTTTTTAATGCCCTCAGTAGTCCTCAGTTTAAGACCAAATTCCATTCCCAAGGTCTGTCCTTAAGTCAAATTCATATGTAAACTGAAACAATACCATTGTATAATACAGTATAAATAATATTGTGTAGTGAACTTGAACTATTGTGTATTTAACTGGAAGTATTATGTATTTAAATTAAATTTTGTTACAATAGGCTCCATTCTTAACTGTGGGTCATCCTTAAACCAGGGTTTCTTAATCCAGGGACTTGCTGTACCTTGATGAATGTTTACAGTAGACCTTCATTGCTCAGCATCTATTCCAATCTTAAAAGTCTAACCCTTTTAATGTAATTCACATTTAAATCCTCTTTAAATTCGGTCTGAAAACACTTAAAGATATCTATTAGCCCTTTAAATCATCTGTATCAGAAATAAAATGGTAGCATCTGCTCTCCCTGCTCTATTCTGCTTTCTTTGTTCTCAGACTTGAAATAAAATCCTGTTATATTTTTTCTCTTCTTTCCATTGCTTTGACCTCTGGTTTGCACTTCTGTTGTTGATGGTAAATGGCAGGCACTAAATCAACAAAATATGGCTGCAGTAAGTGTAAGTCTTCTATCACAGTTTTCGGTAAGCTGGTGCCCTTTAATGTGTTGGGGGTACAACCCTCTGAATTTTCCCCAGAGTAATTTATGAAAGGGAATTCTCTAAGGGCTAGTTGATGGTTGACAAAATATATGAAGTGAGACACTGCTTTTTAATGGAAAATATTATGTCTGAGTCATCTGCCTTATCAGAAAAAAAATATTTGTTTTTAGTAAAGAAGGGAAGGGAAAGGCTAGTTTAATATTATCATGTCATCCAAAAGGAAGACTGTACATTCCTCCCACCTACTGACTGACTGCTGTGTGACTAAACAATTCCTTCTACTTTCAATTTCCTTGTGTAAAATAGAGGTCAAAATGATCTGATGTAAGTTGAATGCACATCAGATGCTAGGGTGTATGAAATCATCCAGTTTGAACAAAGCTTTGCTTCAAAGCCTACTGTTTTCTGTTGTTTTTCTATTTTTCTTACAGACAACTAGATAATCAAGTTAATCTAGGATTAATTAAGTGGTTAATTTCTTTAGCATTGTGTAACCTACAACATTTTTCATGTTTTACAATATGTCACATTAAATTCTACCTATGTATATATAAAATTGAGCTTGGAACTTGGCATTATGGGTTTTCTCTTCTTGTTTGACTCTTAATCTCTGTTGACCAAGGTGATGAATTGTCATTTGCCTTTGTTATTCTTCTGGACATAGTAAAAGTCTGAATGGACAAATTATCAGAAGTAGAGGTGCCATCACTGTTGAGAACATAGAATCATGTACAATATGCAGACACTATGCTGGTGTCATCTCTGGTTTTTGGTTGTCCTCTGCATCACCAGGCATCTACTCAGAAGTAAACATAACTGAATCTGCAAAACTTATTCACAGGTAAGAATGTATATGATTGCAGTCTTCAAGAAGGATCAGGATTAGGACCTGGGAGATTTAATTCATGTTTAGTTTCTCCCATGCAGTTCAAACAACTGTAGTGGGAGTTCTTTTCTTTTCTTTTTTTTCTTTTTTGGAAATGCTAATTGAAATAAGATAAAATTGCATTCGATACTATGCTTCAGATTCCCTTTAAAGGCTTTCTACTTATTTTCTAGATGTAGGCTGAAACCTAGTAAATTTACTGTCAGTCACACAGATTTTGATGTTCATGATAAAATTGTTGTATTGTTTAGTACCATCTGGGTTGCCAAAATCTCAGTGACCATTAGATGACAGGATACAGAAAAAAACTCTCTCCAGATATTTGCACTCTAGATATAGGTAGTTCTAAATAAGCCCATGCATTTTGAATTTCTAAACAGTGATTACTCACATTTCCTACTGATACCTGTTCTCTATACTCTCTTAAAACTCTCTCATTTTAAGTTGATCATGAACATTCTGCCCAATTCCAGGGCAATCAACCCTGCTGATAAGTAAATTCTGTTGAACTCAATGAGATTTACAGCAGTCTATTCATAATCCAAAACCAAGTATCAGTATATCTCATAGATTTCATATTTTGTATCATATCATCTAAACATTCCTAAAGATGTTTCTTTATTTGAAATGGAATGCATATTGAAAAATAAATCACATTTCTCCAAACTTTGAATTGAATTTAGATACATTGGTTTGATACACTGTTTCAGCTCAGAATGCCTGAAACCACATCATGGCAACTAATCTGCAGCCAGTATTTGTAATTGGCTTTTAATTTTTAAATTAACACTTTTTTTCCCCAGAAGATAACGTAGAAAACGTGAGATGATATCCTTTGTGCCAGAAACTTAAAATAACATGTCATTTGTATTCTTGAAAAGTAAATATATGACACAGAATATTATTTTTCACCTTACCATTTGTTTGCAACATCAGTATAAAGGCTATTTTCTCTAGAATAGTATATAGCGTCATGGTATCTCAGGTAAGTACCATATAAAAAGGGTAAAAATACCTAAATATATGTATGCAAGCCATCTGCTGTTACTAATTCACGAAACTTCCTTTCTAAATTCTGCATCAGTTTATATATAAAAGGACTGTGTGAGTTAAAAATTAATATTATTGTATTTGTGTCATACATTTATATTTGTGTCATGGCAGCATCTAGTTGACCTTTTTAGGACCTGGAAGGTAAGTAGGTAGAATGTAGCTAGTCCTTGGGTGAGAAGTAAAATAACCCAGAAGTTCCATAGAGCCCAGTAGGTGCTCTGGTGGTGCAGAGGTTAGAATGCAGTATTGTAAGCTAATTCTGCCAACTGCCAGCAGTTCAATCCTGACTGGCTCTAGGTTGACTCAGTCTTCCATCCTTCCAAGGTCAGTAAAATGAGATCCCAGATTGTTGGAGGCAATATGCAGACTCAATAAACCACTTAGAGGGGGATGCAAAGCACTATATTATTTAATACTTCAGTCCAAAACCTCTTTCTAGAACAGGGTTGTTTAAATCTGGCCCTTGGGGCTGGCCTGGAAATATCAAAGGACCGGGCTGCGGTGCCTCTGCCAGCCAAAACAGGCCATAGAGGACCGCATGTGGCCCTGCACAGCCCGTTTTCAGCCTCCCTGGCCTCCATCAGCACTCTGCCGGTCAAAAACGGCCCAACAGTGCTGCAGGAGGACTGGATTGGACTGGATTACAATTATGTGGCCTCAAGTAAGTGCCTGATCTGGATAGAAATCCAGCAACATCCTATTTTAATACTACAGCCTAATGCCAGATTTTGCATACTGTAGGTCCATTTAATCTACAATCAACAATCTATAATTGACAGCCATTTCTATTCACTGTCCTGGAAATTTACCTCTGCTGTTAGATCTTGTATTATCATGTTATTTATGCTATTGTATTTTTATTATTAGTTGAATAATAAAAATAACAATAGTATAAATAGCTTTTCTGTCTGGAAAAACAATTTACTATTTAATAGTAGGGTATAAATTTAGAAATAAAAAGTTAAGTGGAGTATGAAGAATAAGTAACAAATGTTTGCCAGTAATATCTGGTAGAAGAGATAGGAAAATGGTTATAGTAAAGAACTGTGGAAAGAAAGAAGGGGAAAAAATGCATCTTGAACCTGTGTCAAATGCCTGCCATGGCCACGCCCACCCCGGCCATGCCCGCCATGACTACGCCCACTGCAGGCACACACACACACGGCCCTCCAAGGTCAAACACAACCCTGATGTGGCCCTCAATGAAATCAAGTTTGACATCCCTGTTCTAGAACATGCTCCAGGATGGAAAAGATATTATTTCAATAAGTCAGAAGGAAGCCAGAAATACTATTGTTCTTCTTCCTATCTATGTTTATTTCAAAACTTAAATATAAGTGTTGAAATATCTACTTATGATAGCCCACTTGTCATAATTTGGTCACATTTGCCCCAAATATAAGATTGCACCTATATCAGAATGGCTATAGTTGCAATTCTTATACCTGGTATTTTTGTACAACTGAGCTTTTTGAATTGCCTGTTAGCTCCGCTCTCAATTGGAGAAGTGTGGGAAGCTGATACTTAGTCATTTCTGTAGGACAAGAGTAAGAACTGAAACTTTACAGAAACCTTCCATAATTTATCAGGATAAAAATGTATAGAACTGCATACAAATATTTAATATTTCAATATTTAGACACTGTGCTGTGTCTAATTTGACTTTAATTAGATCATAATGAATTTCATTTCATGAAAAACTAGACTGATTTGGAAGATTGCACATCCTGCAATACAGAATATCCAGATTGAAAAGCATAGCATATATTACCTTATCAAATTAGTAATTAGGAAATATTATATTGTAAATGAATAGATTAAGGGCTTTGATTCTTAAAGGGGATTTAGAACTCTTCTGTTATATTAAGATTCCAAATATCACAAGGCGACCAGAATATTCTATTAAGCTGACAAAAAATAAATGTAACATAGTTTAAATATTCAATTGGACATTATTATAGTTTATTTAAATCTCTGTTCTAAGAAGAAATAATTTTGATTATAGGTGGTATGAAAAATATTGTATAGGACATTATTCCCCCCCCCCCAAATGATAGGGAATATTGGTAAAATTATCTAATTAAGTACTTTAAGACATTCTATATAAAATAATGCGATAAGGAATTTGCAAAGATTTCATAAAAACATAAATCAAGTAAAACCACAGTAAGAAATATTATAGGCTAGGGACAAATTTAAATAAAGAAGTGCAATGAGTTGTCTTTAGTATGTTTCTTCCAACAAATCTCATATAAAAAAGAACATAACTTTTTTATAATTATTCTTCTGGTAAGTCAGTCAACTAAGATTTTCTGCTTGTGAAGTAAGGATATGAAAACTGGTATAACTGATTACTACTGAATACAATGTATAATACCACAAGTCAAATGACTGTTGAATAAACAAAACCATCCAGAATTTTAATTCAAAGCCACTGCTTTCTTTGGAGCGGGTATTCTCATTATTTACAATATTGGTACAATAGTTCAATATAGCAAGATACATTTCATACATTCATTTCATAACAGCCTTCCACTTTTTGAAATGAAAACTGTTGCAAAGCGGTAATGTAAAAGCTATATGAAAAGTTTGTATCCTGGTAAATTCTTCATCTTTCTGTTTTCTTCTTGCTTCAGTTTCTTCCACCCTCTCTACTGCAGTTTATACAATTCACCAAAGCAAGTATTTTCCACACTTCATTGTCTCTTGGATGATCTACATTCAGAAGTAACCTGAAAACTTAAAATCCCCACTAATAAATATACATACAAATAAAACATAGTGGAATTTTAAAAATGACAGTGCGACATATGTCCTTTGAGGTCAAATATGCCTTTCCTAAACTTAAGCAGTAGCCAAACCCAGAACAGCTGAAGTACTTCTCGAAAGCAACCACAGATGGTGTCAAAACTGGACAAAATCCAGGGGCTGAACTGATGCTCTTGTACTTGTCCTCCTTTACTTTGCCAGCCTTTGATCACTGTTCCTCTTACTTCCAGAAGCGCCTCTTGAATTTGATCTATAACAACACACACAAAATATGATCTGAGTAACATAGCAGCATTCTTGTGCGTGCAAATTACAAACTAACCTATTGCTTGTTTTTTTAAAAAAATCCAATGGTGCTGATGAAATGGAAAGGTCCTCCCCCATAATATTTTTGCAAAAGAGCATAATGTTAGTAAACGTCTTCCAACAAATTGCATAAGTAGTTTTAAACTTCAGTTAAGACTCTCACTACTCTCAACACATCCCTATTACAACCCTGTAAAGCACACAATCACCAACTGGTTTAGGTCTCATTGCTGAGAAGTCATGGATGATTACATGCCAGTCACCAGAAAACTCTAATTATGCCTTTACAGAGAACATATTCATAATTGCTGCTTTACATGAACAGGTTGCCTTCTCTGATGAGAGACCATTCATGTAAAAAATGTACTGAATTAATTAACCTCTAATTATTTCTACTGATTTTTCAGCCCTAAGGTTTTGGGGAAATTATTTGTAGGTGAAAAACATTCCAAGTAAAGATTTGGTATTGTATGAAGCAGGGGATGGGGGTGGGGGAAAGGATTCACAAATAACTCAGTCCCTCTCTTTCTTTACCCCAGAACCTGAATTCAAAAGGATTCATACTACTCGCAGACTGTAACGGAGCCTGCCTATCACGGTCCTAAGTCATAATAGTTAAAAATTGGTTCATCCTCTGACTGACTTGATTTTACTACCGTTTTTGAAGCGGTTAACAGTACACCGTGGTTGTAAGGCAAACAATGTGGTCGTTAAGTGAATCCATTGTTTGCTATGGAACATCTTTGCCAAAAACTGGAAATAAATACAATTTTTCAGCAAGAACATCATAAACCACGGTCACTTGACCACAGGACATAGCAAATGGCCATAAATGTGGGCCAGTTGCCAAGCTCCCAAAATGTCATTATATGTCTGTGGGGGTGGGGAAACTAATGGGACTAGGTTGTAAGTACCTTTTGGGTGGTTTGGTGTAACTTTGACCGGTCATTTAAACAACTGGTCATAAATCAAGGACTACCTGTACACCGCAAGAGGAGCACAAGAAGCCGATTAAAAACTGAATTACTCCGTTTAATTTTAAACACAAGAATCTGCAAAAGATAGTTATCCAATTTTCCAGCAGATGCAGTCCTTGTAACTCCACACTTTTGCAGGATACCAGGTTAAACTGAGCTTGTAGGAAAAGATAAAAAGTCCATGTAGGGCCATTTCTTTCCCTTACTCTATTGCCCCTCCGTGCCTCTGCATATGTACTGAGTATACGTAAGGAAGCCCCTACACGTGAAGATCATCCGGGGATTGTTTTTGGTCTCTGGGGTGTCGGAGAAGCAGCAGCTGCACAGCAAAGGTGGGCGCTTCAGCAGAACAAAAGAGGGTTGAAGCTGTCGCCGCCGCGCTTCGCTTGTTTGTTTTGCGAGAAGCTCCCCTCAGACGCGGGGAGAGCTTGAAGGGGGAGAGGCGGGGGAGAGAACCCCACCTCCCCCCCCGCGCGCGCGCCCTAGGCGGCCGAAGCCAAGTCCGGCGACTGCGGGCACAAGGCGGGAAGCGGGCGAAGCGAGTACCTGTCGGGGTGGCCCGTCTAGGCGGAGTTGGAGGAGCTTCGGAGGCGGGGCCCGAGCTGCTGGACGAGGTGCTGCTGCTTCTGCCGGGTCGACTTGACCGCCAGGATGGCCTGCCGGTTTTTGTACTGCACTAGTTGCAGCGTGATCTCGGCGTTCCAGCCTTGATCCTGCGGGCACCGAAAGTCGATCTCCTTCCCCTCGGCCATCACCACCGTGAAATACATGTACTTGCCCTTCCGCTCCACGCAGTCCACCGTCTTCATGGTGGAGAAGGGCAACTGCTTGATTTTGGCGGCGGCCACCGCGGGCTCCCCGTTGGCAGGAGGAGAAGCCGCCGCCGCCGCCGGCTCCTGCTTGGGCGGGATAAGCAGAAGCCCTTCCTCGGTGAGGATGCAACGCTTCTTCTTCCAGAGCTGCAGCAAGCCGTCGCTGCGTTTCTCCAGCACGCCCTCCTTCACCGGCTTGCCGCCGCTCTCCAGCATCCTCCCGCCGCCGCCGCCGCCGCCAAAAACTTCCGAAAGGAGTGAAAAGAAGGCGCGCGCGAGGAAAGCGGCGCACGGACGAGCGGGATTTCCCGGGACGCGCCGGAAAGGCTTCGCCTTCTGCCGAACGACGGCCAGGTTTAGCCGCGCGGCTTCTGGTCCCGCCGCAGCTCTTTCCTCAGAGCCGCTGGAGGAAGCGCCCTCCGTCCCCCTCCCGTTGTTTTTGAAAGCGGCTTTTTCATTTCAGCGACACCAGGTTTTCGGGGAGGGGGGAGGGGCGAAGGAAAGGCGGGGCGGCGCCTGCCGAAGAGGCTGGCCGAGGAAAGCCCGGCCGTTTCGTCCGCGCCTGCCCGTCTTTAGGGACGGAGGCGGAGGCTCGTGGCTCGCTCTCCTCTCTTCTCCCCTGGGAAGCCTGCAGAGGTTCCCGGTCGCAACAACGCCAAAGAACAAAGCCGGTGGCAGCCGAGCCGTTCTCCCTCCTGGAACTCAGGAGGCCCCTCCGGCCCGCTTAAGGCTGGAGAAAGGCCACTTTGGAGCTGTCGCCGACAGCGGCAGGATGGCATCTTGGCTTCCCTTCTGGATGCCACAACAATTCGGGGGCAGGGATGCCTGAACCCAACAGGGGAAACCTTCTTCCGCGTTTTTGTGTGAGTGTGCGTGTGTTGTAATTATGAGAAATGCCTAATATGATAAAAACAAACCCAATGCTTGCATACTACTTGGATGTCATTCATAGGAGCTAGAAAGCATCCACTATATAGGATTCAAAATCTAACATTCACTTCAATTTCTATTACACACTAAGAGCAAAGTTATTTCAGGCTTGTTAATAAATCTCAGCATACACACAGCGGTATTATGCAGCATACACATTAGTTATTTCAGGGGAAAGAGACTTTTAGTCACTGATTATTGTTCAGAAATCTACAACTGCAGAATGCTCATCATTACTACTTTTGGTGCTAAAAAAATCCCATTGCTGATGTAATAGACAATGTTCCTAGTTCTATAAATAAGAAATGTACTTATTTTGTACTTATTTTGCCTCAATGTCAAAAGAGTCCTCAGAAACAGAACTATATGTACATCAGTAGGATAAAATTACATTTCAGAGTGCTGATGTAAGAATCTCCAGGCCTTAAAATTTCCCTACTTGTTTCATCACTCTCAGCAATGCCATCTTCCCTTGAAAATGGGCCTATTTTATATACTGATAGGTTATTCGGAAAAACTAATTAGATTGAAAATGCCATAGCTGAGCAACCATCTAGAGGACATGCATAATAAGGTCATATCAGTAGTACTTAATCTGGGTGAATTATCTGGTCATTTCACAACCTAAACCAGCTCAGAGCCCAAGTATAAACTACTTTCTTTCCAATTATTAATTCAATATCTAAAGCTTTCCTCCTATTCTAAGTATATAAAATATTTTGAGAAGGGTTTTTGGAAACAGAACCTGTGGAACTACCCTTTGCCAACATCTGTTCTAATAGTTGTAACAATAGCCCATGATTGAAATAGGAAATATCCTTCTCCTCAAAATCATTTCTGCCATCTAGTTGGCTCATTACTGCACAAATCTCTTTCAATAAAGATCTACAGTAACTGAAGAACATGAGTCATTCATTTATTTTCATAGAAAATAAAGATTAACCAGCAAAACTCTTCATGGAAAAAATAGGCTCATAACAGATTTCCAAAGAAAAATGCAATTTCCAATAACTAAAGGTTCTAGAAATAAGTGGTAGCTAGACAGAAAAACTGCTACAAGAGAAATGTGGATCATAGTACCGTAATGGAGTGCATAATTCAGAGAACTTTTTTAGAATGAAGAAATCTTGAGGATAAGTCAGTATAGTGTTTGAAATAGAAATCGCATGCTCCAAGTAAGATACTTATTTTAGCAGCAGAATCCAGGACAATTATATTGCTGGGTTCAACAGATGTTCACAGAAAAAGCCCAGAAATAGTTAAAGACATGAGATTACTGGAGTTTGATTGTGAGTTTCTGTAAAGTAAAGGGCTATATTTTTGCTTTGTTGTGACAAGACTAACTACAGGGAGGAAAGGAAAGGGAAGAAATCAAAGATAATACATTGTTACTTAAATATGGATGGAGGCATCTGTGTATTTGCTGTTTTTTATATATATAGGAAAAGAAGCCACAAGAACATTGCTTGTTTTTAAGGAAAACTCCTATGTTTAAAAATATACATACCCAAACTGCCTGCAAATAGAATTGGGTACACTTATCCAAATTTCCTTACAGACCTTATCTTTATTAATCCAAGGGGCTGCATTAATATGGCATATATTTGAAAGCCTTTGGTTACTAGTTTTTAATAACCTTTTGGGAAATATAATTTAAAAAGCTTTGACTCATTTTCTTTTTGTACATGCTCACTCTTAATTCCATTTTACCATTTACTGTTTTCTTGAATTTTATGCCTTTTCTTTCTGCACCCATTGTCTGCCCCTTGTAACTTTTTTGTGTTTTGGCTTCCCATCATTAAAATTAGAAACCATTAAAAACCACCAAGGTCAGCAGCAACAACAAACAAGTTTCAATGTCGTGGCTAACTTGGGGTATGCTCCATCCTGCATTTCTTAGGTAATATTGGGCCAATGTAAAATTCTGTTTCATCACTTCCCATATTACAATGCTGTAACAGGCTGGAAACAGTATTAAGAATTCTTGTGGAGGTAGACAGGCAGGTAGGTAGACCTTGTTTGCATCTGTCTGTGACCACATTCATTGCATGCCAAAAGATCCCTGGTCTCTTCAGATGCTACCAGAAGTTTGCAAACAAATATGAAATGCTGAACTGACATCTGGAAAACTAGGTTCAAATTCACCTTCCATCATGGAAACTCATTAAATGACCTTGGGCCAAGACCCCATCTAGGATAACAGGATTGCAATTATTTGAGTGGAGTAGAATAAGGCAGAAAGAAAAATTCCCCTAAATTTTTATCACTTCAGAAAGCAAACCCCTATAACATTCAGAGAATTCTATTTCCATTATGTGAGGAAATGGAAAACTGCTGATACTTCAGATCAATTATGTGCACAATGTCTATGCCGGCAATTTTATTTGTAAGATCATTAATAGTTTTGACTAATACACATGGAACAGTATTAATTTTACTTCTTCGACTCGATGGTATCATACACAGCATAGATAATTTGATATCAAGACACTGTAGCACAAGTACGCCTCCTACTGTCAAGCTTAACTGTACGCACATTTCTGATTTGCTTAGTGAGATGTACTGTCTCTTGAACTGTTTGCCACTAACCCAGTTTTTTTTTTAAATCGTGCAATTAAACCATGCAATTTCATAAAAATTTCTTAGTTTTTCCTTGAAGTGACACATAACTATTTAAGAAAACTATCAATATTCTAGTCAATCTTAAATGGAACTTTAGAGTCATTTTTCTTCTTCATACTCCCACAAGACAAAATTGTAATTCAAGCCATTCAAATATGGCATTTCAAGCTATTTAAAAATATTTGAAATATTGCATGATAACCAAAGGGCATAAAAACTAACTGAAAAGTGATTTATTTTTTTTTCCACAAGTAGGCCTGGAGTTATATCTCAGATTTGGCATCTTGGAACCACTTGTATACTATTGTACGCAAAAGTTTGTTTTTGTATTTCAATCTATGCCTTTGGGACATGGTTCAAAGTTAAATGACATTTCTATGAATCTAAGAGTTTATGCATATTTTAAAAAATGAATACAGAAGTGCAAAATTCTTATCAATACTCTGTAACACCTCGGCAGAAATAATAGCTTCCAAGCATTATTATAGGTTCCAAAGTGTTCCCATTATTGCTGTCAGAATTTCTATTTACTACTCTTCTTTGCAAAAATAGTCTGACTCAAAAATATTCTTTGCGCCCCTTGAATGAATTGCTTAAAGTTCCTCAGATTTCGAACAATATTTTAATTTGATGACTGTGACAGCTATTCAAAGCTTTTCTCTCTTTTCTGTATTTCATAGTTGATTTGAAGGCTGTTTCAGATCACTGCCTCACTGAAATATCCTATCTTTTTTCAGCTTCTCTTTGATCAATGACACCTAGATCTTCTGATGCAAATATAACAGCTCCAAGTGTTTTGTCAGATTCTGAGATTGTAATTGGGCAATGTTGTTATTACTTACATTGGTAACTGAGAGTGGAAAGCTTGAATTTACAGAAAAACACAAGATTGGTCACTCTTCTATTCCCTTGAATGTGCAATGATTTGATTATTCTGATTTCTGAACTGCTGAACAGAGTTATCATACTTAGAAAACTTAAAGCTCCACTGTAGGGCACCTGCCTTTTAGCCCAGAGCACATTTCATCTAGCACAAACAAGCATTTTCAAGTTTATTGCCAAAGATAAAAAAAAGTTTGCTAATTTTTTAATTATTCCTCACATGCACGTTTCCTCAATAATCTTAAGTGTTCCACAGTTGTATTAATAAAACATATCTCATCCTATGATTCCATTATCTGAACCTGGATCATTTTTAAGGTTTATGGTTTCTATAATTTCTTTCACAAGCCATGCTAACAGTTTTTAGATGATTTCTATCAACGGGATTTCAAGTACAAAATGGGATTTTAAAACTTCCAGAGCATTCACTAAAATGCCACATAACTGGATGATCAGTACTTGGGTAGGATACCAATAACAGACCCAGATCCTAGGAAACGGAAAACAAAAAATCCCAGAAGGTAACAAAATCAACAAGAAAGGCAAGTCATAATTACTAGGAACTACAGTATAGTGTTTTGACATGGAAACTCTGATTTACTGTACATTGTTTCAACACTGTTGCCCCGAAAGTCATGTTTTTATTGTTACAATGTTGCCATTGTTATTAAGACTTACTTTCATTAATAACAATCTCCCAACCAGTTATAAGTTAAATTTGGGCTATACAGATCATCAGAGAAATAAAAACTAATTTTTTTTATCAGTTTGGATAGATTATGAAATTACAGTGTGTTTTAATAACTAACCAGGTATTATTTTATGAGAAACGACTTATCTATCCAATGCTTCTCCAGAAACAAAGGTCCTCTCCAAATCTGTTTACATTCAAGACAACTGTGCTGGGCAGCTAACTTTTCTGCAGCCAGGAGCTTCATGCGTATTTTATTATTTTTTAACTGAATGCCATGAATTTCAGCAATGTAAACCCCAGGTTCCTATAGATAAGAAAGTAATTGCTAGGAAACATAATCATTGTTTTTTTCTGTAATTGGGTCATTCTACAGTACAGTACCATCAATTTTTACAAATTATTCCAAATTCTGCCTTTCTTCAATTCTGTCTTTTGAGTGCTGATTGGGATTTATTAGAAATGTGGTTCGACTAAAGATTAGTTCTTATTATTTACGTCAAAAGCTAAGTACAGATCATTCTTTTTAGGAAGAAAATGGTTATCATTTGTTTCACAAACAAGACAATAATAACACATTTTTAAAAAGTCAGTAAAATTAGAAGATCTAAAAGAGAACAAATTATCTTAAGAAATCAAGTTGCTTCTAGGCATCACTCAAGAATTATGTTAATGTCTTATGTTAATGTGTTGCATTATTAGATTTTCCAGCTAACATGACAATATTGATTGGAAACTGACAGTAGTAGTTTGACACTCTTAGATATAATCAGAAAGCAGTTTTAAAGTTTGAGCTGTAAGATGATTTATTGGTAGACTAATTTTTAATAGCCTAAGGCAACATATAGCTGCGAGCAGTTATAAGAATGGTTGAGGGAATTCTTCACCCTTGTTGCGAGGAGGCATAGGTGCCAAGTGACTGAATCAAGCTACAATATTGTCAAAACACATTTATGCAAAATGCAAGGCCTACTGAAATGAATTCATGCAGAAATACAGCATTTGACACATTGCAGTGTTTTGTATCTATATGTAAGGATTGTTTCCAACAGTAAATGTTTCCCACAACTTTGGTTGCTTATAAGATTTTAAAATGTATACACAAGTACAACTAGTTTCTGAAAATACTAGGTTTATTCACATCCCAGTGATAAACAACCTTAATATGATGTTTCTAGAGATTTTCTGTAGGTCACCATCACAAAATACAAAAACCTAGAGCATAAACAAGCAGACAATTATGAACATTCAATGTGGTCTTGATGGAAATTAACAGTTTATATGGAAGTTATGAAATTTGAAAACGTATGTCATTTCCTAATTAGTACAAGTCACTGCTATTTCTATGACAAAGTAATGAAGGCACAGCCAGTGCAAGCAGACTTAAACCCATTTAAACTACTGGGCCAAAAAATACTTTGGTTGGTTCTCTGGGAAAGGATTTTTTCTAAACAAATAGTGGTCTCCGTCAAGAGTTCTGGTATCTTCACAGCTGCAGTCTAATAGCTACATGACAACAGACTTCACTAGAACCAAACTATATATAGCAATGAATTAACAATTCATGCTTTAGGATTTACTGCATTCTACATATTGGCAGAAAAGTACTATTAAAATGCTAGGTACAAGGAACCTACATTTTAAACCGGTTCTGTCAGTTTGTTTTAACAAAATATTTACTTAATTCTACCAAGATACAAAACATAAGGCTGTAAGTAACTAATAGTTGTATTTAGGCTATTACAGTGCAGATAATCCTCAAGGCCACATACACACTGTTTCACTGCTGCTTGCATTCTGCTGGGTTTTGATCCTTCTGTTGAAGAAAGGAAAGGATACATCAGTGTTCAAACAGGTCTGCTACAGGAATTTACAGACAATAATTCTAAATGTAATGAGCAATAGCACTTAGACTTGTACACCACTTCACAATACTTTACAGCCCTCTCTAAGCAGTTTACAGAGTCAGCATATTGCCCCCAGCAATCTGGGTCATTTTACTGAGCTCGGAAGGATGGAAGGCTGAGTTAACCTCGAGCCAACCAAAATCGAACTGCCAAACTGCAGGCAGCCCGCAGTCAGCAGAAGTAGCCTGCAGTACTGCATTCTAACCATTGCGCCACTATGGCTCATTACTCAATATTACTCAGTAAGGTATGAACTGATCACATACCTTTGGGTCATAATCTGGATCATTTTCTTCATCTGCTTCTTCCTCCCCTTCCTAAAATAAATGTATAGTATATAAGTATATTTGGCCATGTACAGCAAGACTAAAATTCCCCTGTTACTTTTTTCTATAACTTTAAGTTGCTAAAATCAATTGATTTATTAATGTTTATGAAATCCACAATAAAGCCTACCTCATCATCAGCTTCCTCACCTTCTTCATCATACTAGAAAGTGAAAAAAGAAATGCATAAGCTCCAAGACGACCACAACACTTAGATTCCAAAAAACCCTCCAACTAATGTGTTATCCTTCTGTGAGCTTATTGAGCAGCTAACTTTAAAATCAAAGTTGAGAACTTACACACTTACTAATGATGATGAGTTATAGTTCTCAGAATTCATTTCTAGTCACGCTAATGGGCCTGCTGCAAGCTGAAATTGAGCAATATCTAAAAAGCAGCAGGTTCCCTCAGTAGTCTTAAGTGAAGGCAGGACTTACTTCAAAGTAAATTCATGTAGGATTGTTTTGCATCATGATTTTTAAGTAGATTTAAAGCCTTGAAAATAAAAAGTTCAAATACACAATTCAAGTTAAAACCAATGAAATGTCCTATTTTCCACATAAGCAAGATTAGCATATCTGTCACTCCGAGGGATATTGTTATTCTGAGGAAATTTCTAATGGCCTTTAAAGCTTTTGAAGCAAAAGTGCCACCATAATTGTTAAACAGAGCATAGCCCTAAGACAGCACAATGTTCTCTAAGAACTCTGTTTGCTCCAAATGTTTCTCCACTGTGATTCTTCAATTAGAATTGCTGCTTGTTATAGTAGAAGTCTGTCGACAGTTCTTTTTTAATGGCTGGTTAAAGTTTATCTTCATGCTAATAGGCTTGGTATCTGTCATAGAACAATTTTAAATCCTCTCAGGAAAAGGCACTAGTCATTCAAAATCCTTTTTTATATTGTCATATAGTGTACATCAGATCAAAACCTAAGCATTTCACAAATGGAACAAACTTCTGCACTATGGTTTGCTTCAGATGTGAGGTCTAAATCAACCAAGAGTTTGAATTTATAAAAAGAGAAGCCATGCTGTGCTTCACAAGACAAAATGGCAATAAATGATTACCAGCAACAAGATATACAAGGCAAAAGCCCTGAGTTATCTACCTTATGGAGCTTAGATATGTCAATATCTTTCTGAAGCCTCTCTCAAAATTATTCCATTGTTAATTTTCAAGTGATTTATTTGGTTTCCATATTTGTAAGTGATTAATGATACTTAAGCACCTTTGATCCCCCCAAATCACTATTAAACTCTATAACAGAATACAAGTATCAGGAATGTTTAGTGTACTTCAAGGTGTGCCATATTCTGTATTGAAATGGGAAGCATGTTTCATCCTGTTGCAAGGTGTAGTTTTGAATTATTGAATAAAATTAATTTAAATTTGGAGCTCTTTAGTTTCTATGGTTCTTCAAAATGGTTTCCTCCTACTCTAATGGAGTAACTGCAATTTCAAAGTTTTGAGGCTTATCATCACAATACTTGGCAGCGTACTGAGCCCAACAAAACTCAGAGGCGAAATAATGAATATCTAACGTTGATCTTCGGAAATATTTTTACTTTAATTCAAATGCATATAGTTGCAATTTTGTCACTAAATTCTCCTATTATCCGGCCCTTAATTTCATTTGCTTCTATTTCTTTGCTATGTTCTGCATATCAGTGTTCAGCTTAAAAGGGAATAGTATGGTGAATATATATGTATGCATATTTACTTACAGGCCAATCTAGCTTTAAATCAATTTAATATTATAATAGTTTTGATGTAACTGAAATTAAAACACAACTTACATCGTCATCATCATCTTCAATGGCTTCTCCTGTAAAATACAATACTGATCGTGGAACTATGCGCTCCCGTAGAAAATGGCCAATTTCAAAATCAGCTGCAAGAATTGCTTCAGCATCATCATCCTGCATACATAAATTAATAAATATAATGCCATTAGCTGCATTTACTAAATGCAAATACACAATTTCATTCAACTTTTTTAGTGTCAACAGCATTTTCTATTACCCTTCTCAATCTCGTCAACTTTAAGGTGTGTCGATTGCAACTCCCAGAATTCCCCAACTGGAGTGAGAATTCTGGTCAAAGACTTCTGGGAATTTAATTTCATACTTCTTAAAAGTTACAAAGGTTGAAAAATACTGGTCTATACACTTCACTGTATAATTAAAACATTTTTTTTTTTTTTACAAAAAATCATTTATTGGCCTATAAAGAAATATTGAATTTTTAAATTAACAAAATATTTATTATCACATTTGATTCTGGATTCTCCTGGCAGTTAATTTGCAGTAGTCTACAAAAGTGAATTAAAACTTATATTAATTAATAAATAACAATAAAACATTAGTCAAATCTTTAGAAATGCTAATCTAACATGAAGTTTATAGCAAAAGAGAAATACGAGTTATAAGTTTTGTAAGTTTTCAAATTATATAAACTTTTATATCAAGTATATAAAAATGTTTAGAATGGGTGAAAACCTTATATAAATGAAAGGAAAATTTCAGAGCATTAAAGCCACCGCAGAGAGCACTTGGTTGTAGCTGATTTCAATCAGGTCTCCTTAGCAGAACATCAGTTGTTAAGATATAAATAAATTCTTACTAAAAAAAAAACCCCCAAAACCCTGCAATATGACTTTATGATTGTATGGTTACAATGCTTTTTCCTTAAGATACTTTTACATTATCTTTTGGACTCTCTCACACATATATTTATAAGTTTAAACTCTTAAGTGGATAATATGATGTCTGCACTAGCTCCTTTCATACATACAGTATGGGAAATGCTGTCCACATGTACTTACATAAATAGCAAGTAATACATTTACTGCTTGGATCCTTCACATGAACAATCGAATCTGTTTTTAGGAACTTGTGATCATTTAATATTGTTGTATTATTGGTGTGCATGTATGTATATGTACATATTAGCAAATGGATACATTTATTACAACTAAAAATTTTAAAAGTTATGTTTTCATTCATAAAGAAAATCACTGTGAAACTTACCAAGTCCCCACTTTCAGGAACTGAAATGAAAAAAGATGTAACATTATATATTTAAGAAAGCTACATTATTTAACTGCAGTAACTACCCGAAGCTCCCACCTTTTGTTTCCATGTTAACAATATAAAAGATGTCCCAAACCTTTGTTCAAATGCCATTATATAATATATAATGTAAGCTAATCGGCTAATGAAAGACAAAACAGAGGCACTGCTAATTGATGGGTATTAGAATACAGAGCAGTCTAAATGGACTGCACTCCTATTTAAAAATCAAGTTTTTTGATTTAAAAATTTAAAAATCTTTAAGCTTTGCTCTCAAATGTCTCCATTTCATGGGGATATCACTTCCATGATATGCTGACTTTCAATAAGTTTCTGTAAGTAGGTTCTTATGATCATTTGGAAAATCTTTAAATGGTTTGGAACGAAATGCTTGAAATCTTGCTTCCCACATAAGCAGTTCCACCTTTTCAGTTATCCTTTAAGGTTTGTTCCATGATGTTTGCTTTCAGGATGGTTTAAGTCAAAGGCTTCTCAAATATGGTGCTGCAGGCTATGAGATACTTATTTCTAGAAGCCTTTCAAGTGTCAAAACCAACCATCAAAACATTCTTGATTTACTATACAGTATTTTTATTGTTTAACTGGATGCTACTTCAATAGTTCAGGGTTTTTTCATTTATGACTAATGTCATAAATTTATGACTAATGTCATAAATTTTAATCTATGTTCCTTTTATATATACATTGTGTGCACAATTATTAGGCAAGTGAGTATTTTGACCATATCATCATTTTATGCATATTTTCCACTTCCAAGCTGTATAAACTTGAATGCTTAGTAGATATAAGCATATCAGGTGTATTTGTGTAATGAGGGAAGGTGTGGCCTAAGGAAATAAACACCTTATATCAACATGTGCATAATTATTAGGCAGCTTCTTTTACTCAGGCAAAATAGGCCAAAAAGAGATTTAACTGACTCTGAAAAGTCAAAAATTGTAAAAAGTCTTTCAGAGGGATGCAGCACTCTTGAAATTGCTAAGATATTGGGGCATGATCATAGAACCACCAAATGTTTGTTGCAAATAGTCAACAGAGTCGCAAGAAACATATTGAGAAAAAAAATTCCGCACATTAACTACCAAATATTTGAGAAGAATCAAACATGAAGCTACCAGGAACCCATTATCCTCCAGTGCTGACATATTCCAGAACTGCAACCTACCTGGAGTGCCCAGATGTTCAGTACTCAGAGACATGGCCAAGGTAAGGAAGGCTGAAACCCGACCACCACTGAACAAGACACTTAAGTTGAAATGGCAAGACTGGGCCAAGAAATATCTGAAGACAGATTTTTCAAAGGTTTTATAGACTGATGAGATGCGAGTGACTCTTGACGGACCAGACGGATGGGCCCATGGCTGGATCAGTAAAGGGCACAGAGCTCCACTTTGACTTAAGACACCAGCAAGGTGGAGGTGGGGTACTGGTATGGGCTGCTATTATTAAAGATGAGCTAACCCTTTTCAGGTTGAAGATGGACTCAAAATCAACTCCCAAATCTACTGCCAATTTTTAGAAGACACTTTCTTCAAGCAGTGATACAGGAAAAGTCTGCATCTTTCAAGAAGACCATGATTTTTACGCAGGACAATGCTACATCGCTTGCATCAAGGTATTCCACCTTGTGGCTAGCCAGTAAAGGCCTTAAAGATGAAAGAATAATGACATGGTGCCCTTCCTCATCTGACCTAAACCCTATTGAGAACTTGTGGGCCCTTCTTAAACAGGAGATTTATGGTGAAGGAAAACAGTACACCTCTGAACAATGTTTGGGAGGCTGTGGTTGCTGCTGCACAAAAAGGTGATCGTCAACATATCAAGAAATTGACAGATTCCATGAATGGAAGGCTTATGACTGTTATTGAAAATAAGGGTGGCTATGTTGGTTACTGATTTTTTTTTGCTTGAAATGTCTGAAATGTTTATTTGTACATTTTGAGTTATTTATTATTCTCACTTTAACATGCAAATAAACGAGTGAGATGGGCAAATTTTCATTTTTCATTTAGTTGCATAATAATTCTGCACACTAATAGTTGCCCAATAATTGTGCACACATAGATATTCTCCTAAGAAAGCCAAAACCTCACTTTTACTTTCTCAAATATTCAGATTTGAGGTTATTAACATTTTGGATTGACTAACAGCACTGTCGTTGTTCAATAATAAAATTAATCCTCGAAAATACAACTTGCCTAATAATTGTGCACACAGTGTATATAATGTAAATAAAGTTAAATTTACCTTCTGGAGGACTGAAAAAGTTGAAGAAGGAATCGTTGGAAACAGTTTTTGTCACTGTTCTAACTGTTCCACGGCCCTTGTGCTTTTGTTTCTTCTTTATAGTTTTCAAAGTAACGTTCTTCCCCTTTTTCCAATCTATTTGGCACCTATGGGAAAACTGTTATGAAATCAAGCACATACCTACATATTCAGTTTAACTACTACAGACCTGGCACATAGAATCACACAACCAAACTGGATCCTGAATACATTAGTAATTCAACTGTATGAACAACAAAGATAATTTAGATTTCTCAGAACGTAATTCTAAGGAATGAATAATATACTGTAGTACATATTACTTTTTCTGACCACAACATAAATGGGTTTTCTCCCTTTGAAAATTTTACATACATACTAAACAATTCAGAATTCTGCAATGTATTCAATCTGCTATAAAATTAAGATGAAAGCACAGATAATAGTTCCTCTATACATTTTCCACTTATTACTGCAAAATGAAAAAACTACCATCCCAGTCCAAAACAGATATTTGAATCCCAATGAAACTATGGCATTCAGGTAATCTGGCAAGTGGTGCTGGAAAATTCAGCATCTAAGACAATTTAAATGGTTGCCTTAGATATATTGCACTAAACTCTATCCACCGACCCCCAATGCAGCACAATGAAATATGAACACTTTAGTCTAGCATACCTAGTAGTAAGCTAGGTTAGGAAAGGTTAGCCTAGGCACTCATCAGGGAATAAACAATCATGATAATGAAGTCAGAACAGATCCTATGAGAAAACATCTCCCATTATTTTTATAAATTTCAGCTAATTCAAGTGCTAGGAAAAAAATAAAGCAAAATGTTCTAGATTCACAGTAACCTGAAAGCATGTTTCGGAATCTGGGCATGTGAATTGCATTATGTAAGAATTCAATGTGCAAGGTTATAATACAGAAAATGTAAGCGTCCTATTTGTTAACGTTATTTCCAACACTAGGAGTGCTAGGCACAGAATATGTTTACTTTCTTTACAGCAAAAAGCTGACATCTGTACATTTATTTTATAACATTAAAATATATACTTTTGGATGGTTGTCATATAAGAATTACACTTCACTTTAAACTATGATTTCTACTTTTAATGGTTGAAATCTCCTGGTCTTAGAAACTTTAGTTATAATCCATTTGTTGATGTAGGTATTATTTGCTCGCTTCAAATTTATCTTTTATGAAGCAAAGCCTGCTTCAATTTCAGATGATTCTGGTGCTCTTTTAGCAGACATCCTTTTAGCGCTGCTTACAGCTTTGCATTTGATACACTGGCTTATCTTGCTGTCAGATGTACACTGCTCAAAAAAATAAAGGGAACACTTAAACAACACAATGTAACTCCAAGTCAATCACACTTCTGTGAAATCAAACTGTCCACTTAGGTAGCAACACTGATTGACAATCAATTTCACATGCTGTTGTGCAAATGGAATAAACAACAGGTGGAAAGCATAGGCAGTTAGCAAGACATCCCCAATAAAGAAGTGGTTCTGCAGGTGGTGACCACAGACCACTTCTCAGTTCCTATGCTTTCTGGCTGATGGTTTGGTCACTTTTGAATGCTGGCGGTGCTGTCACTCTAGTGATAGCATGAGACGGAGTCTACAACCCACACAAGTGGCTCAGGTAGTGCAGCTCATCCAGGATGGCACATCAATGCGAGCTGTGGCAAGAAGGTTTGCTGTGTCTGTCAGCGTAGTGTCCAGAGCATGGAGGTGCTACCAGGAGACAGGCCAGTACATCAGGAGACGTGGAGGAGGCCGTAGGAGGGCGACAACCCAGCATCAGGACCGCTACCTCCGCCTTTGTGCAAGGAGGGACAGGTGGAACACTATCAGAGCCCTGCAAAATGCCTCCAGCGGGCCACAAATGTGCATGTGGCTGCTCAAACTGTCAGAAACAGACTCCAGGAGGGTGGTATGAGGGCCCGAGGTCCACAGGTGGGGGTTGTGCTTACAGCCCAACACCGTGCAGAACGTTTGGCATTTGCCAGAGAACACCAAGATTGGCAACTTCGCCACTGGCGCCCTGTGCTCTTCAGAGATGAAAGCAGGTTCACACTGAGCACATGTGACAGACGTGACAGGGTCTGGAGACGCTGTGGAAAATGTTCTGCTGCCTGCAACATCCTCCAGCGTGACCGGTTTGGCAGTGGGTCAGTAATGGTGTGGGATGGCATTTCTTTGTGGGGCCGCACAGCCCTCCATGTGCTCGCCAGAGGTAGCCTGATTGCCATTAGGTACCGAGATGAGATCCTCAGACCCCTTGTGAGACCATATGCTGGTGCGGTTGGCCCTGGTTCCTCCTAATGCACGACAACGCTAGACCTCATGTGGCTGGAGTGTGTCAGCAGTTCCTGCAAGATGAAGGCATTGATGCTATGGACTGGCCTGCCCATTCCCCAGACCTGAATCCAATTGAGCACATCTGGGACATCACGTCTCGCTCCATCCACCAACGCCACGTTGCACCACAGACTGTCCAGGAGTTGGGGGATGCTTTAGTCCAGGTGTGGGAGGAGATCCCTCAGGAGACCATCCGCCACCTCATCAGGAGCATGCCCAGGCATTGTAGGGAAGTCATACAGGCATGTGGAGGCCACACACACTACTGAGCCTCATTTTGACTTGTTTTACAGACATTACATCAAAGTTGGATCAGCCTGTAGTGTTTTTTTCCACTTTAATTTTGAGTGTAACTCCACATCCAGACCTCCATGGGTTGATAAATTTGATTTCCATTGATAATTTTTGTGTGATTTTGTTGTCAGCACATTCAACTATGTAATGAACACAGTATTTACTAAGAATATTTCATTCATTCAGATCTAGGATGTCTTATTTTTGTGTTTCCTTTATTTTTTTGAGCAGTGTATTTGTTTAGTGTGCTGTTTTCTCTTTTTGCTTGTTTGTTATCCAGCTTCTTGTTCTATTACCTTGTTTCTAAGGGTAGTCCTTGACTTACAATTGTAACTGAATCGAGAACTAAGATGGTAAGTTATGCCAGTGGTTAAACGGATCATCATGTAACCATGACAGCTTTTACCTTTTTTGGGGGGGAGGGGGGTGTTCTTAAGCAAATGCCACGGTCATTAAAAAATATTGTGGTAATTAAGTGAATGTTATGGTCATTAAGTACGCCCAATGGGCATTTTTCCTGGAAACTGGAGGTTAACTCATGTTTCTGGCAAAAAACATAAATTGTGATCAACAGTCATTAAGCAACCAGTCATAAATTGAGGACTACCTGTATATAAAATTGCAACCTTTGATCTTTGAGTTTAGCTTATATCCTTTGAACACTCACATGGTTTCTGGCTAAGATAACAGTTAATGGGTGATCAATAGAAACAATGGTAAATTAATTTCTACATCATACATTTTAATTTTTCTTCTCGTTGTTCTCATTACCCATGCAAAGCAGAGAGATAGGGAAAGAAGGTAATGCAAGAGAGTAAGCAAGCACACAACGGGGAATACACTGAGTTGGTTGTGCAGTGAGCTTCTGACTGCCAGCACATTGTTTTCATTGTGTATTCCCTATTGTGTGTCTGCTTACTTTCTTGTAATTCCTTCCTCTCCAATCATCTGCAAAGATGAGGGGGAAGAAAAACAGTAAGTCAGACACAGTACAATGTGTACTGAATGTAATGGCGATTACATGACTGAGAAACAGCACAAATGTACCTTTAAACGATCATTGAATGAGGCAATTGGTAAATGGGAACTACCTCTCTATATAATAAATTTACAATAGCCCTTGACATGACAGCAATTGGGTTTTAAGTTTTAAGCTGGTGGTCATAAAGCATAATGTCACATGCTATGTCAGTGAAGGCAGTTCTGGCAGGCCTGGCTGCCATCGCTAAGTGAGGACGCAACTTCCTAGTGGCTTCCCCACTGACTCTGTGGAAACCCAGCTGGGAATGTTGGAAATCACAATCACATAACCTCAGCTCAATGTCATTAACAGCACTAAGGCATTAAGAACCCAGATCACAATCAAGTGACTATGGACACTGCAATGACTGGAATTACAAAAAACTGTTCAGCCCCATTACAATTTTGAAGTCACTGAATGAATGACCCAAGAACTACCTGTATTTATTTAAAAATGAAGCTATATATCTTAATTCTTGACCACTTATTATACAAAATTACACTTACCCTGTGCAGCCCATAATTTCTGGTCCATCGAAGGAGAAAGGATCAGAATCATCGGGTTCTGACCTCATTCTGTATGTTTTTGTTACTACTTCATTTGTGAAAAATTCATTAGGTTCAAAGTGGAATTCTAAAGTAAAAGTCTTTGAAAAAGTACAAGTCAGAATAAGTATAATTATAATCTGAACCACAAAGCTGTTACATTCTCTATTAATTTTACTCTTTTATCTAAGGGATCAATAATTCTAAGCCTTTGAAGTTATCAGTTCTTAATGCTGTTGAACTGTAATTTCAATCAAACCAAGCAAATATAACCAAGAGCCATAAATTAAGGGAGGCTGACAACTTTTATATTATTTTGTACAATACTCTGCACTTCTTCAAGAAACACAAAGTCCATCTTTGGACCCGTGTCCCTCCTGGTTGGTACTGGCCTCCCGGGAGGTTACACAAGGCTGGCTCCAGGGGATTATAAGTGCTTCTCTGAGTGAAAGTGCCTTTCCCACCACCTTGAAAGAGGCGGTGGTGAGGCCCCTCCTCAAGAAGCCTTCCCTGGACCTGGCTGAATTAGCCAACTACTGTCCGGTCTCCAACCTTCGTTTTGTGGCGAAGGTTGTTGAGAGTGTGGTGGCACGACAACTGCCCGGGCACCTGGATGAAGCTATCTATCTAGACCCGTACCAATCGGGCTTCAGGCAGGGGCACAGCACAGAAATGGCATTGGTCGTGTTGGTGGATGATCTCTGGAGGGCTCGGGACAGGGGTTGCTCCTCTGTCCTAGTCCTATTAGATCTCTCAGCGGCTTTTGATACCATCGACCATGGTATCATGCTGCAGCGGTTGAGAGGGTTAGGAATAGGGGGCACCGTTTTGCAGTGGTTCTCCTCCTTCCTCTCCGACTGCTCGCAGTTTGTGTTGGCAGGGGGGCAGAGGTCGACCTCGAGGCGTCTCACATGGGGAGTGCCACAAGGGTCGGTCCTCTCGCTCCTTCTGTTCAACATTTATGTGAAGCCGCTGGGTGAGATCATCCGTGGTTTTGGGGTGAAGTGTCATCTGTACGCTGATGATACTCAGCTGTACATCTCCACCCCAGACCACCCCAACGATGCCCTTGATGTGATGTCTCGCTGCCTGGAGGCCGTGCGGGTCTGGATGGGGAGGAACAGGCTCAGACTCAACCCGTCCAAGACTGTGGCTGCCGGCGTCCCGATATAGTCAGCTGATACCATCATTGACTATTGGGGGCGAATCTTTGCCCCCCCCCAGAGAGGGCTCGCAATCTCCTGGATGTCCTGGATGCACGGCTGTCTTTAGAAGAACATATGACGGCTGTGGCCAGGGGGGCCTTTTATCAGGTTCGCCTGATCCGCCAGTTGCAGCCCTTTCTGGACCGAGACGCCTTGCGCACAGTCACTCACGCCCTCGTCACCTCCCGGCTGGACTATTGTAATGCTCTCTACATGGGGCTCCCCTTGAAGAGCACTCGGAGGCTCCAACTGGTCCAGAACGCGGCCGCGCGGGTGGTTATGAGTGCAACTCGTTGTGCCCGCGTGACACCCCTCCTGCGCAAGCTGCACTGGCTCCCAGTGGTCTTCCGGGTGTGATTCAAGGTGTTGGTCATCACCTTTAAAGCGCTCCATGGCACAGGACCCGGGTACCTCCGAGACCGTCTTCTGCCACCAATAGCCTCCCACCAGCCAGTTCGCTCCCACAGAGAGGGTCTCCTCAGGGTGCCATCAGCCAAGTTATGTCAGCTGGTGACACCCAGGGGGAGGGCCTTCTCTGTGGGAGCCCCAGCCCTGTGGAATGAACTGCCCCCGGAAATACATAAGATCTCCGACCTCTGGGTGTTTCGCTGCGCACTGAAGACCCTGTTGTTCCGCCAGGCCAGGCTATCAATATAATAATTTTAAATTGGGGTATTTTAAATTTTTGGGGGGGTTTTAAACCAGCCAAATCTATTTAATTATTTTAATTTTTAATCATTGTTGTGTCTTGTGCTTTTAAATTGGCTGTACACCGCCCTGAGTTCTTCGGGAGGAGGGCGGTATAGAATTATTATTATTATTATTATTATTATTATTATTAATAATAATAATATTATTATTATTATCTTCCTCTCCATTTCCCTAAACGCCACAACAGGCCGACAATTATGGCTGAATATGAATTCTGTATCTATTAAAAAACTATCGTGTTTCCCCGAAAATAAGACCCTATCTTATATTTTTTGAACCCCGAAATAAGGGCTTGGCCTTTTTATCGGGGGTGGTGGTGGTCTTATTATTTTGGAGGTGCAGAAGGCGGCGAGCGTGGCCACCTCATGGCTGCTGCTGTGTTGCGCTGCTGTGGCAGCGCAACACAGCCGCACATCAGCTGTTCGCAGGGGCAACCAAAGGTGGGAATATCCCCAGCATTCTTGGCATTCGCCCACCTCTCATCCATCCATCCATCCATCTCTTGCCTGCAAACTCCCGCCCCACTCCAGCCTCTCTGCCAGGAGATCCCCGGCAGCCCCAGACACCCAAAGCCTGTGCCGACCCAGCTCCCTTTTCCACAGCACCCGGCTCTTTATCAAGGGGGGTGGCATGTGGGGCGGGGGAGAAGCAAGACACGTGGAGCAAGATATGTCTCACTCCTCTTGCCGTCTCTTATCTCCCCCTCGCCAGGGACCAGGGAGACACGAGATACGCGTCTTACATTGTAGGGTAAAACCAAACTTCTCGCGAGTTCAAGAAGTTTGATTGAACTTGCGAGGTTTTTTTTTTACCCTATAACGTGTTTGCCTGCAGACAACGGCGAGACACGCAACAAAGCTGCAAGGCAGGTAAGACAGCTCCACGTGCCCCAATGGTACTGTAACAGCAGCCTGGCTGCTGCCCTTCCCCGCCATCTCTTTGTCGAGAGGGGTGGCAGGTAGGGCAGGGGAGAAGCCAGAGGCATGGAGCATGACGGGGTTCCTCTTGCCATCTCTTCTTCTCCTCTCACCGGGCATGGCAGGGCTTCCTGCCACTGCCCAAATTGGATGCAATTTGGGGGTGGCAGGTGGGGAGGGGTGTGGCCGGGGAGACACGAGACGCGTGTCTTACCTGGCTTACAGCTCTGTCGCATGTTTCACCATTGTCTGCAGGCAAACATGTTGTAGGGTAAAAAAAACCCTCACAAGTTCAATCAAACTTCTCAAACTCACGAGAAGTTTGATTTTACCCTACAACGGGTTTGCCTGCAGACAAGAACGAGACACACAACAGAGCTGCAAGGCTGGTAAGACACGCGTCTCGTGTCTCCCCGGCTCCATCCCTCCCCATCTGCCACCCCCAAATTGCATCCAATTTGGGCAGGGGCAGGAAGCCCTGCCACGGTCGGCAAGAGGGGGAGACAAGACTGCAAGAGGAGCAAGCCCTGTCTCACTCTATGCATCTCGCTTCTCCTCCACCCCACCTGCCACCCTCGATAAAGAGCTGGGCACTGTGGAAAAGGAAGCTGGGCGCAGGCTTTGGGCTTCTGAGGCTGCCGGGAGACGCCCGGCAGACAGGTGGGAGTGGGGCGGGAGTTTGCAAGCGATTGCTTCCCCTTTTCCTTCTCTCCCAAAAGCGCTCCTCAGGCACAGCCACTTCTGCAGCAGGAGACTCGAGCCTGCCTTCCGAAGGGTACTGTAGCAGCAGCTATCCACAATTTTTTAACTCTTATTTCGCCCCGACCCACGTGGCCCAGTACGGTCGGGATGAAATAAGGGTTAAAAAATTGTGGATAGCTGCTGCTACAGTACCCTTCGGAAGGCCGGCGTGAGGCACATGGGGTGCATTGCTTGGCCTCCTGCTGCAGAAGTGGCCGCAATCCATGGCAAAAACAGCCATGCTTGCTGGAGGCGCTGGCCGGAGCGGCACCCATGAGGCAGCTGTTCCGTGGACAGAACTGCCTGCTGTGACTGTCACTATTAGGTAATGAGGGTGTGAGGCGTGTGGGGCGCGTCGCTTGACCTCCGGCTTCTTTTGCAGTTGCAATTGGTGGCGGCCTGAGCAGCACCTGCAAATCAGCTGTGAATGGTGGCCTGAGCTGCTCGCTGATCCAATTAAGGGGCAGAGAAGCCCTGAGGTGACCAGGGAAAGGAAGGGCTGTCTCATGTGCTGGCCATGCCCACCCCGTCACTAGGACTTATTTTCGGGGGAAGGCATATAATTACGCCCACCCCAAAAATCAGGCTTGGCCTTATTTTCAGGACATGTCCTATTTTCGGGGAAACACGGTAGTTCTTCCCTCTGTGTTACCTCAAAAGAAATACTAGTATTTTATTTGCCAATAATTTCTTCCTTTTAGAGAACTTGCTCTGAAGAATTCCCTATGGTATAACTTCAATAGAACTCTCACCAAAATAAATTAACTGTATATGCTTAACTAGGCAGTGAACTTATAAATAAATTCTTTAAAATTTTCCTTTTTAAGCATCCTTATGGGCTGAAGATTAAAAAGTTTCAGTAATTTGGGAACCTTGGTTAAAAACAATCTTGCTTTAAACTGATATAATGATAATCATAATTAATGGGCTGATCATTAGAGACAGATTACTTAACATTTTAATTTAGGTGTTAGTCCAAAAGAAGTTTTTACTGTTATGAAGTATCAAATTTTTCCTCTTTTTAAATGGAAATTTTAAATTTGGTTTTAATTTATTGGGGTGTTAAAATGGTTCAGCCAAATTTATTTAATTAGTTTTATCTCTATTTTAAATTTTGTATCTATATGTTTTATTTTATGGTTGTTCACCGCCCTGAGTCCTTCGGGAGTAGGGCGGTATACAAATTTAATAAATAAATAAATAATAATAATAAATTGTTACACATATCTTCAGTGTTTAATTTTGCTATGAAGTCACACAGGTCGTGTATGATCTATTGTGACTCAAGAAACACACATTCTCTATAACAGCACCTGCCCTTTGGAATGAGTCCCCCCTCCCCAGATGCGAATGGCCCCAGCTTGCTAGTGTTTTGGAGGGCTGTAAAGACCTGGTTCTTCACCCACATCTTGCTGGCAAGGATTAATGTGTTTTCTTAGATGGTGTGGCATGTTTCTCTTTCATTCCTGTCTGGTTCTTTTCATTGCCATTTTTTCTTCTCTCGCTTATATCTGTATTTTTTTTTTTTTTTTTAATATTTTTACTTAGGAGCCATCGAGTCACTGGGAGTCAATTAGCATACAAATTTAATAATAATCTACATAGAAGAATATTTTAGCTGCCTTATTATTTTTAATAAAACAAGCTTACCATGGGTTCTCCAGCTTCTGAAAACTTCACTTTAATATCTTTTAAATGCTTCAGGATAGGTTCATCGTGTTCCTATACATGTAAAGTAAAACCGCAATACATTAGGCAAGCTTTTTACACTTTTAATGCAATTACAAAGTAGGAAATAATATGATAATACAAAAGAGGAAAATCAAGAACAGCAGGTTACATTTAACATCAAATAATTTTGTTAGTTTCATAGGTGGTACCGGTAGTAATATATATTTATCATGGAAGTATTTATTTCCATGGAACATCAAAAAGACTTGCACAGAAATAAGGAATTTATCATATACTTAGCACTATATTTCTACCAAATATGAGACTTGCAATCTGAAGAATCCCAGAAATGATTACTGATGGAACATTACACAAAATAAAACTACAGCCAAGAAAAAAATATTTTAATGATGTCCATGCTACCTAGTTCTGAATAAGATATTCTAATAAGTTTAGTTTATCACTAACATTTCAAATAATTAAAAGTTTATTCCCTTACCTGAACCATATCACTGAGTAAATCAACATTCTTGAATACTGTCAGCCAAAATTCAGGAATTCCTTTAGGATCATCTTTTTCTTGATCTTTTTTCTCCTCTTCCAGCTTGGCCTTCTCTTTCATTTCCTCCTTGTTAAAATTAATAAGTTAATCTTTCTAATATTTGAGTGTTAAATACCTATCAAATTTAATGGTATACAGCCAGCTACAAAAATTGGATGAACATTAATTATTTTACTTATTTAAAATATTTATATACAGTTTCCCATAAAGAAAAAACTCAAAGCGGTTTACAAAGTATATTTACATACCAGACAATGAACTACAATGTCCTTACTTTTAGGCTACATGTTTTTCTACTGCTGCTGAGAGGATCAGAAATTTTCCACCGCAAAAGCCAAGATGAAAAAAACTCAAGACTCCAGATTCCCCTCTTTGCAGTAACTTTCTTAATTCTTATCTTTATATTTATGAAGACAGTAAAAAAAAACAGGAGGTCCCTAAAGACCATGGCTAACTCACTAAATGCAAAACTAATTTTGCCATCATATGTAATTTTTAATTGATTTTAACCTAATCTAATTCACTTCTCTCCCGTTAGTTTCAACAGGAGGGAATTTGAACAAGGAAATGAACAATATGAGCCTTGATGGTACAGTGGTCTAAGCACCCTGTTATTAACACAGCTGCCTGCAATTACTGCTGGTTCGAATCTCTCCAAGGCTCAAGGTTGACTCAGCCTTCCATCCTTTCTAAGGTAGGTGAAATGAGGACCCAGTTTGTGGGGGCAATAAGCTGACTTTGTATAAAATATACAAAAGTATGAAGGCTATTGCTTAACGCATTGTAAGCCGCCCTGAGTCTCCGGAGAAGGGCGGCATATAAATCAAATAAAATATATATATATATATCAAAAGAAACAAAAATCCATTGTTCCATCCCTTCTGCTTCATAATACAAACACAAAAAGGCTTTAGACTACCCTCTTATTAGCATTCCCATGAAATAAGGCAGGACTGCCCTTTAAGTCTACTTCCAATAACATACAGGTACTCACTGAAATTTCTTCTTCCGCATCTGTTTTCCACTCACATTCTTCTTCAGTAGGTTCATAAACAGCATTGATTATTTCACTTCTCTGGAAGATCAAACCATTGTTCTTTCAGATTACCATGTTAATATGACCCAATACCTTTTATAAGGTGGTAAAGCACAATTCTTTTTGGAAATAGAAAATGCAAAATTAGAAAATCTACATGAATTTCAGGTACTCCCACTTTCAACATTATGTAGAAAAAGCATACAGATTACCTTGTCAAATAAGGGCTGATAAAGGGTAGCATATTTTCTTTCCAGTTCATGAACTTCTTCATAAAACTTTGCTTCTATCTGTGCACATTTAACTTGAAGATTCTTGAGTGCATTTACTCGTCTCTTAACTACTTTAGGCAAGCTGTAGGGAGTGGAAGTGTATTGTATGATTACATTAACAATAATTTATTTAAAAATAAAAAATGTCAATAAATATGTTGGTTGAAATGTATAATTTCTAGCACATGCAAATCTAGAACTACTGACATTATACAAAAATATTATAGTGACATACCATTCCTTAGCACAATTTCAGAAAAAAGTTAAAAACTTAGCTTCATTTTACGCACTATAGGACTTGAGAAAATTGAGATTAAGCAGTTATCTATTATCTTTAGTTTTATTAAATGCAGCTTCACCTTACTATTCTATTAACACATTATTGCTTTGTCTCACTTATTATTTCACTGTCTAGAGTAGATTTGAAACAAGGTAACAAATTCAAGTTTTATCTCTAGAAAAAAATATTCTCACAATGTTTAAATTTTAAAAAGTTATATCAATCTAAAATTGACATTAACTAATATACTTTATCATAAAAGATTATCAGCACTAGATAGGATGCTATGTTAATACTACAGAAGTGCTTTTTGTGATTAACGTTATTACTAATCCTATAATCAGTTAAAAATATTTATTTAATGCATATATATACTGATTACATAGCTTGAAAGCTATACTTTCCTTTACTTTTCAATTATTAGGTAATATTTATACTTTTCTCTACTTTGCAATTTAATTGCCAAGATTACTTCTCTTAAAATTCACAAACAGGGAAACTCAGATAGTAATGGTTTATAGTGGATAACATTTTAAAATACAATTCCCTCTCAAAAAAAAAAAAAAAAAAAAAAGCATGCCTTCAAATAGCAATGTAACACAGAGACACATTAGAAAAAAACTGGAAGTGAGAATATGTTTTGCTCTTAAAGAGTATTTAAAAGAGGAAAGAACAGTGTTCCTCTAGATAGTCCTCCACCTACAACCGTTCATTTAGTGATCATCTGAAGTTACAACTGCACTGAAAAAAGCGACTGATGACCGATTTTCAGAGTTATGACCCTTCCAGCATCCCCACGGGCCCCGTGATCAAAGTTTGGATGCTTGGCATGTATTTATGACAGTTGCATTGTCTCGGGATCTCCTTTTGTGACCTTCTGACATGCAAAGTCAAAGTGGAAGCCACATTCACTTAACAATTGCAATGATTCACTTAACAACAGTGGCAAGAAGTTTTGTTAAGGTTGTAAAATGGAGCAAAACTCACTTAACTGTCTTGCTTAGCAATGGAAATTTTGGGCTCAATTGTGGTCATCTCTGTAGTCTGTATGATGTTCATGGAGCAATCCTAAACATGTAAACTGGTAACAAAACTTGGTTCATGGATCCATGCTCCTATACTCAGTAACTAATGCAAGAAACAAACTAATAAGCACTGATTTGTGAGTCACTGATCAAAATTCTTTTCTGTAATGTTTATTTATTTATATTTCATATTTCTGAACCTTTTTAAATCCCAAAAGATAGGGGCATGTATGCCAGTGGGTGTGTCATAAAATGATTTAACTAGAGAAAATGGGCGCTGTACTTACCTGATACGCCCCTTCTCTCTTCGCTGTCACGGCAGTCAGGCTTGGGTTGATGACTGGTAGCTGGCCAATAGGACCGAGTCCACTGGAAAGCTTAAGCTCCGCCTCTTCCTCTTAGCTCCAGTTTTGAGGCGAAGGTATCCAGCAGACTGTCGTGTCTATCGGGAAAAAAGGCAAGAGAAGTGAAAGGTACCCCATCCCAAATTCTCCCCCCAAAAAATGACCGGGGTGGGGCTGACTGCCGTGACAGCGAAGAGAGAAGGGGCATATCAGGTAAGTACAACGCCCATTCTCCTCTCTCGCTGTCACGGCAGTCAGGCTTGGGACATACCAAAGCCACATGTCCTACAGGGAGGGTTCAGGTCGGACCATTTGAAGCACCCGTCGGCCGAAGGCTGCATCCGCCGAAGAATAGGCGTCCACTCGGTAATGCCGAATAAAAGGTGTCACTGAGAACCAGGTTGCAGCCTTGCAGATTTCCTCCCACGGAGCTTGGGTAGCCCATGCTGCCGACGTGGCCACACTTCTGGTAGAATGCGCTGTGATGCGCCGGGGCACCGGCAAGGATTGAGCATCGTAAGCAGTAGAAATAGTGGCCCGCAGCCAACAGCCAATTGTCGACAAGAAGACTTGTGATCCCATAGACGACGGTTGGAAGGAGATAAAGAGGGCCTCCGTTCGCCTGAAGGACTGAGTACGGGATAAATAGATCCTCAGAACCCTGCGGACATCAAGGGTGTGCCAGAGCCTTTCCAAGTGGTGACGTGGAGCAGGACAAAAATTTGGAAGGACGAGCTCCTGCGACCTGTGAAATGTAGAGTTGATTTTGGGGATGAATGCAGGGTCTAGACGGAGGACCACCCTGTCCTTGTGGAAGAGACAGAGAACAGAGCGAATGGAGAGGGAAGAGAGTTCCGATATACGACAGGCAGATGTGATTGCCACCAGAAAGGAGACCTTGAAAGACAGTAGTTTTAGGCTGGTTTCACAGAGGGGCTCAAAGGGCGGCTTGGTAAGAGCCGTAAGCACCTTGTTAAGGTCCCAGGTAGGGAACCTGTGAATGACAGGAGGACGCAAGTTTGTCGCTCCCCTCAAAAAATCCCGGACGAGAGGATCCTTTGAAAGAGACAGATGTTCTGAACCTTATGACAGAGGACAGTGCAGCGACCTGGCGGGGTAGTGTATTAGGGGCGAGGCCAGCGGCGAACCCGTCGTGCAGGAAGTCCAACAGCTGAACCACGGAAACAGAAGATGGATCCAGGCCCTTTTTGGCGCACCAACGCAGGAATGACTTCCACGTAGAGTCATAAATACGTGTCGTGGCCGGCCTACGAGCTGCTAAAATGATGGAAGCAGCAGCTGAAGAGACCTTAGTGGATGTCAAACGGCGCCGCTCAACTTCCAGGCGGTCAACTGGAAGGACTGAGGATCTGGATGGAACAGATTGTCCTGCTGCAGTCCGATGAGGTCGTCCGGAATTCGCCATGGGGGGGGGGCACTGACAGGGCCACAAGGTCCGCAAACCATGGCCTGTGGGGCCAAAAGGGGGCAAGAAGAAGAAGTTCTGCTTTCTCCAGGAGGAGCTTCCGGACTACCTTGGCAATCAGTGGAAGGGGGGGGGAAGGCATACAGCAGGACCCCCTGAGGCCATGGGCTGCGCAGAGCGTCCACCGCCTCCGCCCCCGGCGTCTGAAAGCGGGAGAAAAAGCGAGGAAGACGATGATTGACGTTGGTAGCAAACAGGTCGACCTGTGGAAGACCGAAGCGTTCCGTCAGTAGTCTGAAGAGTCTGGGAGGAAGACTCCATTTGGTGTGGTCCAGGGCGGCTGAGAGCATCCGCCCGGATGTTGTCTTTTCCGGCAATGTAATCGGCTCATAGAGATCTCAGATGGGCTTTGGCCCAGACGATGGGTCTCCTTCATAAGGAGCTTGGAGCGAGTTCCGGCCATCCGGTTTATGTGGGCCTTGGTCGAGATGTTGTCCGTTAAGACCAAGACATCCCAACCGATGATGTGGGGCTTGAAGTGAAGGAGGGCCAGGTAAACGGCTCGCAGCTCGAGGATGTTGATGCTGAGGGTCTGTTCCAGCAAGGACCAGAGGCCTTGAGCCGAGAAGGAACCCAGATGTGCCCCCCAGCTGAGCAGGCTCGCGTCCGTAGAAATGACTGTCCGATGTGGCTCGAGGAACTTGCTCCCCTGAGACAGGGACGGGGATGTCCACCAGCGAAGAGAGTCGATGACTGCTGGAGGAAGTCGAATAGCCCGGGAGACAGTGCGAGTGGCCGTCCGTTGGAAAGGGAGCAGTAGCCATTGGAGTTCCCTGCTGTGGAGACGAGACCAGGGAACGATCCCGTAAGAGGACACCATTTTGCCCAGCAGCATTGATAAGTCTGAGAGAGAGGCAGACCGGCGAAGCCGGACGCAGTTGGCTAGAGAGGATAGGCTCAGAAGACGGTCAGGAGATAGGAAAACCTCCCCAGTGACTGTATCAATAACCGCCCCCAGATGTTGGATCCAGGTGGAAGGAACCAAATGGCTTTTAGCCAAATTAATGGAGAAGCCATGGGACTGTAAAATGTGAACAGTTTTGTCCAAATCCTGCCGGGCCAGTGCAGAGGAGCGGGAAAGGATGAGAATATCATCCAAGTAGAACATAGATCTTATGGGAATAGAGGAAACATGGGCCATAAGGGCCACCATTATTTTGGAGAAAACCCTAGGGGCAGAGGACAAACCAAAGGGAAGGGCCGTATACTGAAAATGGCGTCCATTGTAACAGAAACGAAGAAATTTGCGGTGACCAGGCCGAATTGGAATGTGGAGATAAGCTTCTGTTAAATCAATTGAAGTCATATAGTCCCCCTGGCGAATGCCAAGGAGAATAGTTTGGAGGGAGTGCATCTTAAACTGGCGGTAAACTATATGCCGGTTTAAGGACTTTAAATCAAGAATAGCCCTCCAACTCCCCGAAGCCTTAGGGACAAGGAATAGACGAGAATAGAAACCCTGACCTTCCTGGGAAGGAGGTACAGGCTGGATAGCTCTAATATCCAATAAGTGAAGGATGGCGGAATCCATCCAAGACCTTTTGAAAGGGTCCCAAGAGAGGGGACATCGGAGAAAAAGCTTCGGAGGGGTGGAGCGGAATTCTAGGGAGAGGCCGAAACGAATAGTAGATCTGACCCAGGCATCTGAGACTGTGAGGTCCCATTGATTAATGAAATAGGATAAGCAACCCCCAATAGCCTGAGGAAGGAGAGACTCAACGGGACCTCCTGAAGGGACGGTCCCTGCCCCCTCGAAAGGGCCTCTTGAAATTAAACCGGGAACCGGGCCTGACCTGTTGATCCGCAGAAAACTGACCCCTTGATGGAAAGGCACACTGAGGCCGTTGAGCTGGCAGAGATGACTCCAGGGTCCGATAGGATGAGGAACGAAAGAAGGAGTGTGGACGGGTGTCAGGTCGCCAGTTGAGAGCGGGTAACACCTTACGGTGATCTCTTGTTTCCACCAGCAGAGGATCAAGTTGAGTGCCAAAGAGCTTGTCTCCAGAAAAAGGCGAAGAGGCTAGGCGCCATTTGCTCCTGATGTCCGCCTGCCAATTAATTGCGGAGCCAAAGGAGACGACGACCGGTGATGGAAGAACCAATGGCCTTGGTGGAAAAGCGGGCAGCATTTAAGGTGGCATCTGCGGAGAACTCCACTGCAGCCATGATCTTGTTCAGATCTTGGTGGGAACGATGATCAGGAGGCAAACGAGCTTGCAGCTGCCTGAGCCAGAGGATGGTGGCTCTGTTGAAGAAGGAAGCTGCGGAGGCAGCTTGCACTGACCAGGCCGAAGCCTGATGAGCCTTGATCAGTGTTCTTTCAGCCTTCTTCTCCTCAGGACGTAAGCACTCCTCCGGGGGACCTGCGAGAGGGGATGGAGAAGACAAGGCCAGCACCGGTGCGTCCACAGAAGGGATCTGGAGAAGTTGAGAGAAATCAGGAGCCATGTTATAAAACCGCTTATCCAAATTGTTGGGAACCGGGCCAGAACTCGGGAAGGACCATTGGCGAAGTAATACATCGGAAAATAATTTGGTTGCAGGGACCACTTCCTTTTGAACCGTAGGTTCTTGAAAAAGGGCTGAAGCCGGATCAGTTGAAACAGAAGTACCCGCAGGAGATGAAGAGGAGGCGCCTAGGCGGGTGACATTCTGAGCCTTGAACAGCAAGGATCTGAACAATTGAGGACGGAATAAGCCGATGAAGGCAGGTTGATCAGGTTCCAAACCATCATCATCCTATAAATCATTGTCTACTACAGGGTCACCCTCAGACAGGGAATCCTGACTCGCTGAGTCAACAGGGTCCCTGCATCTATGACTTCATCTACAGCTTCCTGGAATGCTTGATACCTGTAGGAAGGGTTGGCACAGGCCTGATCAGAAATTACAGAGGAAGGCCGCTGTTGGAGGCCTTGAGAAATACCCTGGCGTATGGCTTCAGCAATTAGAGCAGTTAAGGCAGGAGGAATGTCTTGAAATGGATGGGAAGCAGTGCTGGGCACCTGAGCTGTTGAGGCTTGAGAAAGTGACTGATCAGGGATTGGAGGAGTGGAATCCTCATGAACCACTGGAAAAACCGATTCCGCCTCCGCATCAAAGGAATTTTCTCCCTGGATAGACCTGTCGGGGGACAAGGCCTGAGGAGGCTGTAGTGGAACCTCAGCTGAAGAGGTAGGCAAAATAGGCTGGAAGCCTGGGTGATCAGAGGCCGATTCCAATGTAGAAGAAGCCTGGGCCTTTTGAAAGGCCTTCTCAATGGCCTTGTGACGTCTCTCCTCCTGCCGAGATGGTTTGAGGGTAGAATGCAGTGAGGAAGGAGGAGCTGCGACCTTTCTTATTTTAGGGGACTTCCCCTTTGAAGGGCCCTCACCTGGGTCGTCCTCACAAGGGCGTTTCCCCTTGGCTGTGGCCTGGCGGGAATGGACAGTATGGATCGGACAGTAGCGCGGCACCGGAGTGGCCGAAATTACCTGCTGCTGGGCAGAAAACCCTCAGGCGCAGCGATCACCGCCAGTAAACGAGGCAAGAGAGCCCGGTTAGAGACCCGAGAGAGTTGAGGCCAGGATCTGAGAGAACCTCCGCCGATGAAGGCGGGAAAGCCGGGGGACGCGGCAGGGCGAACCTGTGCGCGTGCCAACGAAGCCGCTGGCCGGCGGAGAGTAGTAATTAACGGCAGCCGCGTAGACTCGTTAAGGGAAAAGGCAAAATCTAAAGTCAAGTCCGTTCCGAAGTCAAAGGCAGATAATTAGAGGCAAAGTAGCAAGAACACACGATAGACACGGCTGTCCTGGCAGACCGAGTCGAAAAACTAGAGCTAAGAGGAAGAGGCGGAGCTTAAGCTTTCCAGTGGACTCGGTCCTATTGGCCAGCTACCAGTCATCAACCCAAGCCTGACTGCTGTGACAGCCAGAGAGGAGAAAAGGAATTTTTCAAATTTGTTTTCATATTTATTACATAACATATAATTTGTTTATTCTTATCAAATATATATTAATACTCATATTAAATATATTTATGTTAGTAAAGCAAACTGTAAATTAAAAATTATTTTTTAACAAATGAAACAATTGAATTTCTCTAATATTGTTTAAATATTATATATTTATATTAAATATTATATGGATCAAATTGGAAGAAATAGTTCCAAGAATAGATTCTACTCAGAATTTTTTTTCATATTGCATTTATCAACAACTGTTTAAAATGGGCTTAAACATTCAGATACTTCTTACAAAATTGGGGATACTGTTCTTCATGATCAAATATGCATCTTCATTTTCCTAAAGAACATATGCAGCAATACTATTTCATGATAAAAAGCTGCCAATTTCTAGAGCTTCAATAATGAGAACAGAGAAATTTAAGACACCTCAGCAGACTCTGGGATTTGTTTGTTTTTTGGTCTGTGGAAGCATATTTTAAAAAGACATTTAAATCCCAGTTTCTCAATAGAATGCCCACCAAAATTTGGGCAATAATTTATAAAAAAGGGCTACCAAACCTGCATTCCTACCCGTAAAAGTATGAATCCATAGCATTGAAATTATAAACAGGATTACAAAAAAGATACAGGTCCCATCAAAGATCATAATGCAGAATAGCACTCTCCCAAACTATAACAGAATCATTTGTTATAAGCCCCTTAAGGAAAGGAATCAAATATCACTCAACATGCAATATTTTATACAACTAAGCTTTCAACCGTAGAAAGAATTGTGTAATATTTGCTATTTAGTCCTAAGTGAACCAGCTAATTACACTCCTACCTGTTATTCAGAGGAAAAAGATAGACAAGTAATAAAGTTGTATAACAAAGCAAAATGCTTTTAGTGTGATAAATACAGCAAAAAGCAAAAAGCCGCCCTGAATCTTCGGAGAGGGGCGGCATATAAATTTAATTAATTAAATTAAGGTATCATGGCCAAGTGCTATCTCTAATGAAAATTAGATAGAGACATAGGATGAAGGTGGTAAGTAAAATAAGTTAAAATAACAAGATCTTAAGAGAATGAAAGTATTTCTTTAGAAAAGCTATGTCTGCAATTTTAGGACCATTTTCGTAGATGGTACTAAGGCCATCTTCGAAAGAGGGAAATAATGCTTTGCTTGAATTAATTCTGTTAAGAAATGTATCTCCTACATGTAAACAATTAGATCAGAACTGTTAAGATATGCAAAATATACCCGCAAAACCTTTTAACGTCAAGTGAACATGCAAAATATTAAACACAGTTCTATGTTATTCTTGTTAATTTAACTATTTTCAAACTGTCATAGCTGACACGCTACATAATTTTTAGTATTGAGTTACTTGTAATAAAAAGCAAGCTTTGGTAACTTCTCAAAAAGTATAGTATTTCATTGAAAGCAGCATCATTAAACCCAGAAAGAACTTGCTGATCTTGGGTCAAGGACTTTTCAGATTAGCAGAGGTTACTTAAATATACTGTGAGAAAGAAAAAAAGTAAGATCACAGCATATCTGAGATCAATTATGGCCAGCAAAGTAATCTGTAAAGATCAAAATATGTCATGCACAAATGGATGTGTTCAGATAAACAGCTTCAGATTCTGTGACAATAGGAAACAATTGGAAGAAGACGTGATTATTTCTGTTGATTTTATATTTTGTCATTCTCACCTCAGCTATTTATCATGATAGGATTCTATGATTTCTATGAGATGGGTTGGGCTGAGAGAGAATAACTGGCTCAAATTGTTGTTGGCAAAAAGGAGCAGGGAAGAGTATTGGTATGTTTGGCACCTTGAGCTGCATATGAAAAAGAAGTTGGGATAAAGAATCTTTTTTAAAAAAGGACTATTTGCAGCAAGAGGGGAAAAAAGATGGGGAAAAGATATATTTCAACACACACAACCAAAAACAGCCTATTTTAGCTAAGATGTCGTAGTCCAATCTTTCAGGCATTGCTTCCAGGCCTCTCAGATAAGGTTAAGTGTAGTGTAACAGTTTTACATGATTATATAATTGTCACACTTGAGAAAAGTTTCCAGAACAACTTTATCTGAGGTCGACTTTATCTGAGGGAAGGGAACAACTAGAAGACCCCTATTATGGTATTTATGAGTAAATTGTCCAGCACAATAACAAATCATAGGAGTAGCCATCCATGACCTAAATCAAGACAAGTTTAGAACTACCTCACTTTGACCAAGTGTCATAACTTAGTGCTGCTCTGTCATCTTTAATTCTGATAGGCAGTTCCACAACTATATTTTCCTTACTATTTTATTAATATATTAGCCTTGCATATCTTGAAATAGCAACTCTCCCCAGTTGATTCTCATTAAAAAAGGGCAACAGATGAAGAAAACAGAGTAAAGAGAGACAACTTGGTGATGTAAGAATGAATCAAAGGTCTGGGGAAATGTTTTATTATCACTTAGCACTTTTAAGATTTTGGAGTTAAGAGTAAAGGAAGAAGGGATAAAATAAGAAAGAGCCGGAAAGCTCAACACTCAATCCTGAAGAGAATGCACTTCCTGATGGATAAAGATGTGCTACCCATTATTTATACTTGTACTGCCTAATAAAGTTACTGCACTGGCTATAATATAAGCAGAATATGGATCTGGACAATACAGCAATTATATCCATTTCTTAAAAACAAAGTATTATGGAATTTCTGCATTTTGAGAAACACTGATACTATTTCTCATACTTTCATATATATTCATATTACCAAAATGAATTAACATTTTTCTATTTCTAGTAAAGCTACAGAAGCAGCAAAGCAGAATAAAAATTTCAAAGAAAGCATTATGTTCTACAAAAGTCAAAGAAAACAGGAAGCAGTCATGAAATTGTAATGTATTTAATTACAGATTGTACAAACTTATAATTGTCTTATTTCTATATGCTCCCCACTACCTTTCATAGGGGACGCAGTGGCTAAGATGCTGAGCTTGTTGATCAGAAGGTTGGCAGTTCAGCAGTTCAAATCCCTAGTGCTGCGTAACGGAGTAAGCTCCCGTTACTTGTCCCAGCTTCTGCCAACCTAGCAGTTCGAAAGTAAAACATAAAAAATGCAAGTAGAAAAATAGGGACCACCTTTGGTGGGAAGGTAACAGCGCTCTGTGCGCCTTTGGCGTTTAGTCATGCCGGCCACATGACCACAGAGACGTCTTCGGACAGTGCTGGCTCTTTAGCATAAAAACGGAGATGAGCACCACCCCTAGAGTCTGAAACGACTAGCACGCATTTGCGGGGGAACCTTTACCTTTCATAAAGAAAACCACATACCTTTTTTCTCAACATTATTAGTGGAATCCTATATAGATAACTAAAAATTATCACTAAGTTAAATACTTGTTTCCAAGAAAGCTTGAATAGGACTGCAGGCTATTCTTTTCTAAACCATCAATTATGAAAGCTTCTCTGAAACAGATTGCAGGTAGTCCTCAATCTACAACCATTCATCTAGTGACTGTTCAAAGTTATAATGGCACTGAAAAATGTGACTTATAACCAGTCCTCAACTAAGAGTGTCCCCATGGTTACGGTATCAAAATTTGGTTGCTTGACATCCAGTATGTATTTAAGTAATTGTAGCAGTTCTGGGGTCATGTGATTGTCACTTACAACCTTCCCAGCAGACTTCTGGAAAATAAAGTCAATGGGAAAGCCAGATTCTCTTAAAGACCACATGAATCATATAACTGCAGAGATTTGCTTAACAACCATGACAAAAAAGGTTATTAAATTGTGTGTGACCCACTTAACAAGTGTGTCCTTAACTAATACTAATTCTAGCCTCAATTTTTGTTGTAACCAGTACTTGTTAGTTGCACAATTTAACTTCACATATAAGACACATTCCTTTCATTGTTTTGCCAAATGATTATGTGGTTATCACACACAAAAAAATTAAGTAATCAAGCAATAAGATGGTAAAATAATAGACTGTAATGTACCTTTCTATATATCCTGTAGGTGTTCCAACCAAGCCATCAAGCCTTTCCTGGAGAGCTGCAAGAATCTGAGGATTCTGCATCATTTGTACAGTTAGTTGGCGTGCTGAATAAAACAAAACAAAAACAGTTTTTTTAAAACTCCATTATAAAATACTGTTACCTTTGTATTTGTTTAAATAACACAACATAAATAACTGTCCCCTCTCTATCTGCTCACTGATTTAAGCTAATTAGATAAATATAACATCTATATTCCTTGCTAAACAATAACAGCAAAAGAAATTACTTGTGTCAAGTCTCTTAAACTTTGCAGCCTAGTTGAAAAAATATACATGTATAAATATTATTACAATATTTCTTTTTCAGTGTACATAAATCAGGGATCCCCAACCTGTGGGCCTCAGCCCACTACTGGGCTGCAACCTATTTGCAACTGAGCCACATGAGTGGCTGGCTGGTGCGCCATTCGTGAGCGCTTGCGGCCTCACTTGCACGAGCAACAGCTGCTCGCAAAACCATCCCCTCTTCCCGGCCACCAACCCAGAAAGGTTGGGAAACTCTGATATAAAGTAGAAAAAGTCAGAAATACTAACAAAAACAAATCAGAGCATGAGGTTAACGTCAAGAAAAAATAGAATTCATTTATACTCACTATTCATTATAATGCCCTCACTATTCATTATAGTGCCCTTCTGCCCTTGTAAAAGCATTCCTGCTTCTATTACTTCTAAATGCCTCTTCATCCCTTAACTTTTCTCAGCTCTCTTTCTGATGTCATAAATCCTATCCAACTACAACTTTCTTAAGTCTTCTCTTATTCTCTTTCTAACCATTTGTCCTTCATCTATTTGTTTCATCATTGAGTACTTACATTCTCACTATATGACCCAAACACTTCAATGTATTTTGGTATTGATCACACATTCAATATTCATATTGAATGCAATCAATATTCATATTGCATTCATTATTGGATTTTTCTTTTCTAATACATTAATTTCTTTAAAAACTAAGAAATTCTCACCTCATCAACTTATTTTTATATTTTTACCAGCATACCCAGTTCTTACTAAAAGAAGGTAGGCAGAAGCAAGACCTCATGTAACTATTTTTGCTTCTTTTGATAAATTCATTAATCATACTGTGTTTCCCTGAAAATAAGACCCTGTCTTATATTTTTTTTGAACCCTGAAATAAGCGCTTGGCCTTATTGCCACACACTCAAAAAGCCCGACTGGGTTTATTATCAGGGGATGTCTTATTTTGGGGAAAATAGGGTAGCAGATTACGTACATCCAAAACCCTTCTATCAGCATTTGCACAACCTGAAACTTCTCCATTCATCTTCAATGCTTAAATCTGATCCTTATTACTTTTTTCCTGAGCATACTATACTTTCAAAATGTTGTTGTCAACTTTTATATTTCAATCAGAAATCTGGGAAGCATAATCCCAGCCACTACCTACCTTCTATAGTTTTTGTATTTAAGCTTGCTTCTTTTATTTTGTCAAGGAAAACATAAAACAAACTATAGAGTCACCCCAAAAGCAAACTAAGTCTACAAAATACTATATGTTTATTGGAAATTTTGCATTTAAATTTAGTGTGGGTTCATTATGAAGACTGAAATCTTGTGTGCATTGACACAATTAAAATAAGGTCCACTCTATTCAGTGGAGGTCTAACGATATGTGGTAATGACCTTGGGAGACAGAGCAAGAGATGCAGCCAAGAGAATGGTCAGATAAGACAACTCGCCCACAGCATAAATATGGGCTGGGCAGTAAAGGCAACAGGGAAGAGAAGTACTTTCAGACTTGCAAGATGTTGTTAAAATAACAATAAAATAAAATTAGCTCATCTAGTCATACTTCCTGTCTGGTCTACCTCATAAGGCCGGCAGCAGTTTATTTAGAAGTAAAGCCATATAAGCTGCAATAGAAAACCTCTTAATAAAAAAGTACCTTTTCACAAATATGAATTAGAAAGTATTTGACTGTGACCTAAAAGGCAAATATTGCATTTACCAAGGTTTTGTTCCCCCCACATTACTAATAGGTGTTTGCTTTATTAGGCCTCATATTACATTTGAAAATGTGCATTTACAGTAGTCATAAACTTAATGATCTCATATTTGTTTCTGTCTTTACCTTTACTGTTAGCATCCTCACCAGATTCTTCCTCTTCTACTTCCTCAACATCTTCCATATCTTGCTGGTCAAGCTCAGCCTGTTCTTTGCTATTCAAAACAAGAGTTTTCAATTTGTTATCAGATTTTTAATTTTTCTTAAAAAGTTAACACTTCAAATATATTACCAACATTCTGATCAAAATATGTGCAGAAGTTAGTCTTTCAAATCAATTTACTTAATGCAAAAATCGTCAGATTGTTATTTCAGCATTCTGTTTCAACATTAAGAACCAACAACAGCAAAAGTGGAAAATAACCTTGTTCCACTCCTGTAACCCTCAGATAATTTGCAATTAAATGTGTTTCAGTTTAGGATACTGAGAATATTTCAGGGGCAGTGTATAGTATATCTTGTTTTGTGATAAGCTTCTGCAATTAAAAGCATCTAAACAATATGTATGTGAGCATTTATGAAGCAACTGTATTTTAAAAAAAATAAAATGTATAAATATTAATAAAAAATTCAAAAGAGACACTCCTCAAGCTTCTTGGTTCTAGATGAATCAATTTATCTGCCCTGCAAAAAGATCATATGATGCAAATTTGCATTATGCTGCAATACACAAGGATCAAAGTTCTAAGCACTATAGTTACATAAAGAATCTAAGTGCCAAAAATGATAGATGTTACTGGAATTTAGTTTTGTAAGACTTCACATTGATTTTTACTGTTCTGATGGGATTATACAAAGGAATATAACTTATATACATCGCTTGGAGTAAAATGCTCATTTAAATATTTATGCATCATTTCCAGTTATTCTAACTGCACTTTCCCGCTTTCCATTTATATTCTCCAAATGTACATTGTCTTGCCGTTGGCGCACAAAACACTGTAACTGACATTTTAAAGAATAAGTAAGACAACATTGTCATTCCAATTTAGCATTATTGATCAGAATGAAGAGCAAAGTGTCAGTTCAAGCATAAAGCTACTAGTTTTAGAACAGAATTTTTAAAATTTATATAAGAACGTGAATCTGACACTCAGTTCTCACTGGAGCAGAACTTAAAGACATGTCATATTCACTACTTTGCACTTAGTATTTATAAATCAACACAACAAAACACTGATATTTTATTGTATCCATATGTAACCTGAATTTTAAGCAAGTTTAACATCGTTTCATGAAGATATTCTCAGGCACCATAAAATTAAATCATTGTTATGGTACCATTATTGGAGAAATATAGAAAAATCTTTTTAAAAATGTGCTTAGAATTGTACAAATAGTCCTTGAATTACAACAATTCCTTTAGTGACTGTTTGAAGATGCAACAGCACTGGAAAAAGTGATTTATGACCATTTTTCATATGACTGCTGTAGCATCCCCATGGTTACATTATCAAAATTCGAATGCTTGGCAACTGAGATGTATTTATGACAGACTCACTGTCTCAGGGTCATATGATCACCATTTGTAATCTTCTCAGATGGCTTCCAACAAGCAAAGTCGAGGGGGAAGCCAGATTTGCTTAATGACCCCATGATTCACTTAACGACTGCAGTGATTTGCTTAACAGTGGCAAAAAAGTCATAAATTGTTATTAAAATTCACCTAATTACTGCCTTGCTTAGCAATGGAAATTTTGGACTCAATTAGGGATCTAAGTCAAGGACTACCTGTATGTCCAAGAATAAAATCTCATTATTAATACTTTGAATAACTTTGTGCAGTAATACAGAAATGGTGATGGACAATCATTATACTCTATATAGAGTAGTAATATAATACATATTAGTTTTTAACAAGCAAATCTGATTTTAACTGAAGTAACATTGAATAAAATTATAAGAAGTATGCTGGTTATAAATATCTTGAGAATGATTAGGTTGCTTGTAAAAACTAGGCCTCTGAGTTATTCTGACATTTAGTCTGAAAAAGGTGCTTTAAAGCAGGCAATGAAACAAAAACGCATCTCAAAGCAATCACACAGTCCTAAAGAAATACAAGCTTCTTTAGGAAGAGATATGCAAGGTTTGTATCTTTTGTGTGCTCCAAAGCGACCTTTTCAGAATTGAATCAAAAGCATGACACAATCCTAAAAAAATCTGTCAAGTTTCTGCTCCTATTACAAGTCTGAGGTTTCTATGTTTAACTTCAATTATGCACTTAAAACCATAAGTTGAGAACAACCTACATTCTATTCTATAGCAAATTTATCAAATTATTTTTGCAGAATTTATTCATGTTAGGGAGCAGCCATCAAGTAAGCAAATACTAAACACATTTTTGATCACTAAATATTATTCTACCACAATATTTGCTCCAGATCATACATATATTTAATAGAAAAGCATTTTATTTATATTGTGGTGGAAGAGGAACATGCTGCTCCTTTGTACTTTATGAAAACTGATTTATGATACAGATATTTGACAATCATATATCCATTTCTTTTTTTAATCCTCAAAAGTTTGTCAAAGGGCAAATATAGAAAATATTTCACCCTTTTACAATATGAAACAAACCACCATGACACATTTGAATCAACTCTTTGAATTTGAAATACATTTACTTGCAAACATAAAAACATTACTATCTAATGTTTAAAGCAAATATGCATAACTGCTTTGAATCTGGCATTAAATGTCACAGGTAGCAAATTGAAAGGATGAATTTTGCACATCTAAGCCCTTTAAAAAATTAACATCAATCAAAAAGTTGTACGCTTACTTGTCAATGTCTGCCATATTTCTAGACCGCAGCAAACCTTTAAGAAAAGAATAATAATTTTAATTATTTAAAAATAAATAATTTCAAATTGCTTTAAGCAGAAATTATACTAATGTTAAACTATCTTCCAATGGATCTGGGAGAGGTATTGTATTGTAACCATTTTTAAGCCTGTCAGAACCATGGTCTTCCTCTTTTTATATGATCACAACCAATGTTATTAGGTTGAAAAGTCTTTAAGTAAAATTCCTAAACTACATGTAACACACTATGAATGGTGCAAGATTCCAATATATATCTTGGTACAGAAAAAGACACTCATGACTTGAACATCTCCTAGCAACTACATGGACACATTTTTATACCTTTCTCAGTAGTGATGTGGAAATCAACAGTGATATATTGCAAGCAATTTTGATGTTTTAAACTATAGTTTGCACTTTGAAAAGAAATTTCTCTGTGTATTCAAAATTGCTCTGCAATATTAAGGTAAACCTATCCACAAAGATGAGCGGAAGCACCCACCTTCACTGGAAATGCAACTGAATGTTGCTACTCTATTTCAAAATACGTAATTTTAATTGATATTGCTGTAACCAATTATATTTGTGTTAGTCATCACAATTAACTCTCTATTCCTTCCTTCCTTCCTTCCTTCCTTCCTTCCTTCCTTCCTTCCTTCCATTCCATTCCATTCCATTCCATTCCATTCCATTCCATTCCATTCCATTCCATTCCTTCATTTTTCATATTTCTATGCCGCCCAACTCTCCGAGGACTCTGGGCGGCTTACAACAAGAACAGTGTGAACAATATACAATAAAAAACGTAAAAAAAAACAAACCCATACACACTGCTCATGGCCGGATCTCGCAAGATCGCAGTGGTGAGATCAACGGCCCCAAGCCTGCCGGAAAAGCCAGGTTTTCATCATTTTCCAGAAGGCCAGTAGGGTGGGAGCAGTCCAGGCCTCAGGAGCTAGCTGATTCCAGAGAGCCAGGGCAGCCACAGAGAAGGCCCTCTTCCGCGGACCTGCCAGCCGACATTGTTTAGCTGACGGGACCTGGAGGAGGCAAACTCTGTGGGCTCTTACTGGTCACTGGGAGCTATGCGGTAGAAGACGATCTCGAAGATAGCCTGGTCCTAAGCCATATAGGGCTTTAAAGGTAATAACCAACACCTTGAATTGTGACTGGAGACCGATAGGAAGCCAGTGCAGCTCACGAAGGATTGGTGTAATGTGGGAGTACCTAGGTGTACCCACAACAGCTCGAGTGGCTGCATTCTGGACCAACTGTAGTCTCTGAACACTTTTCAAGGGTAGCCCCATGTAGAGCGCGTTGCAATAATCCAACCGTGAGGTGACAAGAGCATGAGTGACTGTGAGAAGAGCCTCCCAATCCAGGTAGGGACGCAATTGGTGTACAAGGCGAACCTGTACAAAGATTTAATCTATATTAACAAAGAGAACGTGTGATTATGGCATGTAAAAATTTATTCACTTCTTTCTGTACAAATTGTAACAATGTTCTTGTTTGAAGGATCTTATTCATCCTAGCACTTGCTTCTCCAATATTGTTACTCATTTGCAGAGATATCCGTGACAGACAGACGCACATAACTGGTCATTGTTAACTGAGCAGAGTTGCTTCTTGTATAAGCTGCATACTCAGGAATGCCAGACTATATTAGATAATAATTTTAAAGTATTTGTATTACTGAATTCTGATATATTATATTTTTGTTCCTCCCAGAAGAACAATTGTTATTAGAACTGTGGACACATTGAGTTAAAAGAACTTGCCAATTAAGACATTACTAGTAAAGGCCAATTTTTCCATTAAGTCATCAAATAGCAGGCTTCTTCAATGGCTTCTCTGGAGTCTCTTTGATGGCTTTAGTGGAAGACCACTTAAAAAAAGATGTTGATAAGATTGAGTGAGTCCAAAGATGGATAATAAAAATGGTGCAAGATCTGAGGGACAAAGCATATCAGGAGAGATTGGAGGAACTGAATATGTACAGCCTGGAGGACAGATGGGAAAGGGGTAAGAAGATTGAAAATTTAAATATATTAAGGGTATGAATAAGTTTCTAGAAAGCAGCATTTTAAATATTAAGCAAAAATCAAGAATACAGGGACATAACCTCAAATTGATAGGATGGAAATTCAAAAGTAATGTTAGAAAGTACTATGTCAGAGAAAAAGTAATTGGTCAATCGTTAGTAACTGAATTTAAATATGCTTGGGGTAAACACATGTCCATCATCCAACAAAAATTAAAATAAAAAATAAAAATAATTTATAAAAAATAAAAATAAATACGAAAACAAAAACAAAAAAAACCTCAAAGGGCAGACTCAATGGACTGCTAAAACTTTTTCTGCATCAGTTTTCTATGTTTCTATATTTTGACTGGTAATCAAATTGATTTAACAAATCAGTTTTCATACTTCCAGCTATATTGACTGATGTATCTTCCATTTGTGTAATACTGTAGTTTCCAGCTATTTTGAGCAAGATATGTCTCAAAAGACTGTGACTGCCTTTCAATGGTTCCTCAAACACAGCTTTTCTACATAAAACTATTACATGCAAGGCACTCATAAAGAAAGGTGTATCATAATTTTTGGAACTATATTTCTATTAGATCCAAACACCTTCAAATTTTGTTTCAAACACAGATGTATCTGCATACACAATACAAAACCTCTTGTATAGCATTTCATTTCACTTGAAAGAATTATGTAAGATCATTGTCTAAATAGTATATAATGAAATGCTAACATGATCTGATTAAAAATGAAATGAAGGACAAAAATTCAGTTGAACATCTTTGGAATCAATGAAACTTTCAGCCTATCTCTCTAAACTGCATGCATAAAACCAAATATCAATTACTCAACATTTGTCTATGACCAGTCATACTGAAAGTAACAAAAGAAAATTGTTTACAATACAAGCAAGAACATTTAAAGAAAAAAACCCTAAATATTGGTACAAGATATCAATATTTTTAATCTATTGTGAATATAAAGGTGAATTAACACCAGTTGCAGCAAAGGTAACAATCTTTAAAAACCAATCTTGCATTTTGTTAGTATAGAGTGAATACTGTAATATAAATTGTTAACAATTTTTTAAAAATACTCATTTAATTTTATTTTCCTATTACTAGATTTTCTATATAAGGAATTAAAGAAAGTGATCCAAATCTGGTATATGAAAAACACACATTTATTAATCTAAAGGAAGTAACATGGCATTAAAACCAGACTGCCTGAACAGTCTACCACTTATTGTAGGATTCATTTTCAGAAAATGTATTGCACTCTCAAAATGCGCACACTTTGGAAGAAAATCATGCATTTCCAAAAAAAAGTGGAAGATTTCAGGATCAGAACGTGAAATTTTGCATATAGCTGGGAGTTGATTGATATAACAAAAGAGAAGGACAGGAATTCTGCTGCTTGTTTTTGAGTCCAAGAAAAAAATAAATTTTGATGGTGGGTCAAGGCGCTGCTTCAAATAATTACTTCATCAATGAAGTACCTTGATTTGACAGAGGCTGATTATGGCAACAAAATCTGCTGTTCCAGTTCAGTTTATGCATCCTATCCACTATTATCTTTCTGCATTGCAGAGCAACCATTTAATCTTTCATTGAATTTTCCACTAGAAAGAATAGCAATGAGATTCAACACAATTCAAATTCAAATCTTAATTTAAGATACTAGAACCACAAAGTCTTGCCAGACTAAACAGCAGCACACGGGGACAATATCAGACCTTACACGCAAATACGTTTTAGCTATGTCATCAGGCTTTAGCTGGATATTTAAAGTAGCATAAAAGTCACTCTTAAACTTTGTATTAAGGTCTAAAAAGTCAGAAAATTCATGAAAACATCATGGATATTGTCCAATCTGTACTGCCTATTAATAACTTTTACTGACATCTTGTACCTTTTCCCCTAGTATTCTTAAGATGAAAAGGAAAGAAAAAAGGAAAGAAAAGGAGACTGATTGAACATATTAAAACTCCTTTGAAAGCAATTTCACTTTTAAAAAAAACTATGGTATTGCATGGCTTCATATCAAGTCTTTGCAATTCTTAACATTATTACCCGTATTTTTCAGACTATAAGGCGCACTGGTGTAATAAGATGCACCAAGATTTTGAAGAGGTAAGGGGAAAAAAGTTTTTGTCCTCCCTGGCCCCCAGGAGCACTCTGCAAGCCTCCCAAACCCTCTGCGCACCCCGTTTTTGTGAAAAACGGGCCCATTTTTCACAAAAATGGGACAAGCAGGGTGGGGCTTCGGGAGGCCAAAAATGGCTGTATTCAGTGTATAAGACGCACCAACATTTCCATCCTCTTTTGGGGGGGGCGGGGAGAAAGTGTGTCTTATACTCTGAAAAATATGGTAAATGGTTGGCCTTCCATATTAAAAAAATACCAATTTTGATCGAAGTTTAAAAATATTCAAACAATGAAATTCAGAATGTTATTAACTTCTACTTGATTATTATTTATGATGCACAACCCCTACTCTTAGCTCTATAGCTTAAAACAAGTCATTGTATCTGTACATTTTCTTCTGCAGAAATCAGAAAAAAATTCTAAGTACTGTATACTCTAGACAGACTTTACAATCATGATGAATAAAGCTAGCAGAATACATGACTACATATTTCTTCTGCCCACTTGAATTCACTAAAGTTGTTTGAAGAGAATATTAATGAAAATTATAATGCTGAAATACATCACTTTACCATCAAATAATAATTTATATAGTAACACATGACAATCCAAATTATAGATGTCCTTAGATTTTATGCCACAGAAAATCTTGAAGAGTAAGATTTTGTATGAAGTCCTCCTAAGCCCACATAAAGAAATCCACATCCTAGAATTCCACCCCAGCACACATATAAATGTAGTTATTATATTTTTGGGAAAGAATAAATGTTAGTTTATTAATAGATCACTAACAGTAACATCAACCCCAACATTTCAACCAAATATTCCAACCCCAACCCCAAATATTCTTTATTTCCAGAAAAAGGCCGCAAATACAGGTAGTCTTCAACTTACAACAGTTCATTTAGTGATTGTTTAAAGTTACAGCAGTACTGAAAAAAGTGACTTATGACTGTTTTTCAGATGGGAAACCTTTGCAGCAGCCTCATTGTCACAGGATCAAAATCCAGATGTTTGGCACCTGGTTCATATTAATGACGGTTGCTGTGTCCCAGGGTCATGCAATCTTCTGGCAAGCAAAGTCAACAGGGAAGCCAGATTCATTTAACAACCAGGTTACTAACTTAACTATTCAGTGATTCACTTAACTGTGACAAGAAATGTGATAAAATGGGGCAAAATTTACTTAACAAATGTCTCACTTAACAACAGAAATTTTAGGGTCAAATGTAGTCATAAGTCTAGAAAAATATTCCACAAAAATCATATTATTTTCAACAAATTCCAGTAATCCAATTTCTAAATGTTTTCCTCAAATTGTTAAAAGATTATGGTACAGGTAGTCCTCGATTTATGACCAATTGCTTAGCAACCATTCAAAGTGCCAGCAGACCTACCTGGGAGATACTTACAATCCAGATTCAAAGTTTCCACAGTGCCTCCCATGGTCACATGATTGCACTTCGGGCACTTGGCAACCAGACCACATTTATAGCCATTTTAAAGTCCTGCAGATACATAACTATGTTTAATGGCTTGCCAAAAACTGATATTTACTTCCAATTTTCGGCAAAACCACATCCTTAAGCTTAATGAACACAATGTTAACAACTACAGTGATTTGCTTAATGACTGCCAAGACAAAAGGCTGTAAATTAAGAGTCAGTCATGTGACCGATACGACCATCATGAATTATGACCATAATGAAGCATATTTATCATGATCATATCTCGAAAACTACATGTACTCTGTAAATAGAAAATATCTGTCCAATCTGCACAACTCTGTTGAGGAGTTGAAATCCAAGCATCTCAAAAGTTGCCTAGGTTGTGAAACAGTGCTAAAACTAATCTTTAGAGTTTAAAAAAAGGAGCACTGCATAAATACAAACAGACTGAAATAACTTTGTCTATAGTTAAGAAAATTTTGGAAAATCATAAAACTGAGGAAAAGATCCTGTCTTCCTATAGTACTATATACAATGAAAACTAAAGGAACAGGACAGACCCAAAAACAGAAAAAATGATACATTAATCTAGTTTGCAGCTATTGAGAAGGAAATCCCTATTAGGCATTCTTAAGAAAGCAATAAAAAATCATTTTAAAAATGTCAATATTGCTACACTGGCATAATCTATGGTACTACAATGCTTGGGATAGTACTGTGTGCAATAATGGCTCATGCACTTTAAAATAAGGTGCTTAGAGTTTGGAAAACGCATGGTTATCTATTCCATGACATCAGTTATTAGAGGAAAAAAACAGAAAGGGAGTATTGCACCCATTTCTTTCTGAGTTTGCCATAAACATCTGTCTAATAATGGAACAGAATATTGAATTTAAAATGGACTAGTTTTACTCAACAAAATTCTTATATTCACCACTGGCACAGAATCCACATGATGAAAGTATCTGCTTAATGTAGCAAAGCCCACTTCAACATTTGTGTCAAAATATTGGGAAAGGAGGTTTACGAACAATAGACATTCCAGACATCTTAGTTGCACTATTTAATACTCCAGAAGAGGATAGAAAGGATTAGGTTCTAATTTCCTACCTGTGTTTGAAGCATAACTGGATGTTTTTAAACAGCAATTCATGATCCCAAGAGAGTAATGTCTGTATTAATTACCACATGGATGTTCCAGTTATACAGATACAGATCAATTATGCAAATAATATTAAATGACCTTTATGCTAAGTGCTATCATACAATTAATATAAATTCTGCAGGATAAATACATGATACTGAAAACATGTAAAATCAGCAGTATACAAACACATTAAAACTATTTTCTCAGCTGTTTTTACTTTGACCATGATTAATATTTCTATATAAATGTTACTGAACATAAACTGATTTGCAGTGTTATTTTAAAAGCCTGTGCTAGGCCTGCAAAATTTGTGGAGGCAAATGGGCCACACTGATAAATTAAAAATAATCACAGATTGCAAAGGAGTAGTTGGATGAACTGTTCAGTGGCTACTGAAGCAGTGACAACAGAGATGGAGACACTAGTGCCATTTGGCAGTGTATCTTTCAAGGCAGCAGCAATAGTGGAACCTTCCTGATGGTTGTGACACTTGGCAGCAGCAAATTTATTGAGTATTTTAAAAAATGCCAGTGAGCAACATAAGGCTGTTTGGCAAGTCACATGCAGTCCATAGGCCAATGTTATATAGGCATAGTATATGCATGTATTACAGTATTACGTTCTGTACATCAGGTGTTGAACCGGTCAATTTATTTATTATCTTAACTGCAATCCATAAATAGTATCAAGTTTATACAGGTATTTCTCACAGTTGCAACAGTCTCAGTTATCATTGTTAGGCGAATCCTACCTAAGTGTCCCATGGTTATGTGATTGGCATTTGCAATCTCCTGCCAGCTTCCCAAATGACTTTGCTTGTCAGAAGCTGGCAGTAAAGGCAGCAAACAGCAATCATGTGACCATGGGACACTGCAATGTCATAATTGTGAGCCAGTTGCCAAATGCCTCAGTTGTGATCATGTGATTTTGCAGGGATGCTCCGACATCTGAAATTACAATGTAACTCATAAATTTTAAGCCACCTCCATACAACACTATAACTTTGAATAATCGCTAAACAAGTGTTTGTTCAATGAGAGCTACCTATATTACTAAACGCAGCTAAACCAACCTCAGTTAAGGCACTCTAAGACATGAGTGCAAGACCACTTTTCTGATTCAACACAACGGACTGTGCTTTCCTGGAAAAATGCAAAATGCAATTCAATATATCTGAAAAGCTTCAGTTTAATAAAGTAGATTAAATAATGCTTATATTTACATGTAGTAGTATATCCCCTGGAGTCTCTTAGTATTCATTACTTTGCTAGATCCAATGCATTTTTATAATTTTGGACATGCATCTTCAGGTATATTAATCACTTCCATTTTACAGAAGGGCAACCAGAAGAAAGTAACTTGTCAAGAGCTGCCAATCATGTAAAATAAATACTACTACAGATTTTGTAACAATTAGGGTTTTATGTCTCAAAATTTAACATTAATGTTAATAGACAACACCTAGCTGTGTAAGAAAACTATTTTTGACATTTAAGATATCAATTTGTGAAAATGTTTTTACACAAAACATTGGCCAACAAAAATGTTTGAATTGGAAAGTCATTAAAATTTTCAAGGCAATTTTTTAAAAGACAAATTCACTTGCCACATCAGAGAATTAAAAAATCAAGAATTTAAGGTCATGCCAACTGTCATTTGCACCCTTTCTAGATATTACGGTAAATAGTACATTAAAAAAAGCACACATCAACTCTTGTGTACATGCATTCTTTGGCTACCTTTTTTATATTTTATAACCTTAGACCTTCCGCTAATTCATATTCAAAACCCACCACTACCCAATTTATGAAACAAACTTATCTTTTAATCTTCTACTGAAGTGGTATCTCTCAATTTACATATATTCTTTAGTTGCCACATCAAAAAGAAAATCGCGGTAGTGCACTACTGCATGTCCCACCCCTCTAAACAAATACAACAGCTATCTACTGAAAAACAATGAAGCAAGCAACAGTATTTCAAGACACTTTAATCTTGCTTTTATACTGCCTTGCCTTAAAAACCATATGGCCAGTATCATAAAGGGTGTTCTGTAGATTAAAGTGCAGTTAATCTGATGCTGTCTAAAACCACAGTCCTGGCACTATCTCAAAAGTACATTTAGAATAGCTATTAGATCAATCCACTGAGTGAGAAAATTTCGATCTACGAATACAACACTCTCTGTGCAAAAGGAGGGAAAGTGAAAAAATGAGTTTTTATTAGTACGTATGGAAACTGCCTTTAAATCGCGGGGGGCGGGGGATTATAAAACAGCGTAAAGTTATCTTTAAACCGATCGTTTCCTCAGGGAACACGAGTGATAAGACTCCCCGCCGCAACGAGCACCCTCCCCAAATGCCCACACCCAGCCTCTCCCGGGGCCCACTATCAAAACCGACTGCCTATTTCGATCCCCTTTTCCCTACCCCCATCGCGGCAAAATCCTATTAACGTCTCAGCCCCGGTAAGAGGTTTTAATCCACGCAGCGCCACTTACAGGTCACCGACTCCAGGGGGAAAAGCGCCTGAGGCGGCCCAGACCTGCCTGTTTTCCACGTGTTTGCTTGTGCTTCAGCCGGCCAGACTAGGCCCGGCCAAGCCAAGCCAAGCCAGATCGAGCCGCCCGGCCAAAGGCCTCGCCCTAAGGCGAAAGTGAGGAGGGCGGAAGGAGAAAAATGGCCTTGGCACCCCCTTGGCGCGCGCGACCGGTCTCCCACTCGAGCAACCACCACCGCTGCGAACTGAGGCACAATTCCCACAAGAAGCCCAACGGCCAAGAAGGGCACCGCCTCAGCCCGCTTTCTCCCCCTCCTCGGTGCCGATTGGACGCGAGGAACCCTGCAACTGGTGGGCCGAGATCGATATCTAGCCGGCGGGCGGCCCGGCTGTGATCTTCATGATCCCACCCTCGAAGCCAAGCCACGCGTCTCGGTTACCTGCGCGAGGCCGGGTCTCGCAGTGACTCAGGATTGAGGAAGAAGCGTCTCGCAGCCGGCGGTAAAAAGACCCAAGCTCCCGCCGCTCGCGCTCATATAGAATTAACGTCACTACGTAACTCCCCCCCCTCCACCTCCACCGCCGCTCTTTCCCGCGCGCTTCGGTCTCCAGGCAACCTCGGGCGCGCGCCTGCCAAGGAATGGCTAAATTGCTGCCTAGTGACAAATAAGGAATCCTCTCTCTCTCTCTCCCGCCAATCAACCCGCCAAACCTCAAGCCAGGCGGCTGCATTGGCGCTCCGCGGTTAGGCCACGTGCTCCGGGACTCTCTGTGATAAACAACGCATGCAGCAAAAGGGAAGGAAGGATGCTCGTGCTGGGTGTGTGTTTGAATGAGACACAGCAAATTATCCCGTTTCTGAGGCAGACATTTCCAAATGAACCTTCTTCTATTTCTCCATAACTGATAAGCTATTATTATCAGTACATGAATACCCTAAATCGACATTGTTATTAACTCAGTGTGTAATTTGTGGTTGCAGTTGTCTTATTTTTTTATCATATTTAACTCAGTTATATTTAGTTACTGTAATGTATTGACTCAATATACATCCACATCGGTCTTATATTACTTGTTATTACGTCTTATATTAGGTGTTATTTATCACCTTTAAAGTGCTCCATGGCTTAGGACCTGGGTACCTACGAAACCGTCTTTTGCCACCAATAGCCTCCCACCGACCAGTTCGTTCTCACAGGGAGGGACTACTCAGGATACCGTCAGTCAAATTATGTCAACTGGGGACTCCCAGGGGGAGGGCCTTCTCTGTGAGGGCTCCAACCCTTTGGAATGAACTGCCCCCGGAGATACGGAATATCCCTGATCTCTGTGCTTTCCGCCGTGCCCTCAAGACCCTGATGTTCCAACAGGCGGGGCTAAACATACGAACATGTGAATGATTTTTTAAATGTGATCTAATTCTGGGTTTTATTTAATTGACCAAACTAAGTAATAATTGTAATTAGCAATTTTATGATGTTTGTGTGTCTATATTTTTCTTGACTGTACACCGCCTTGAGTCCTACGGGAGAAAGGCGGTATAGAAATATAATAAATAAATAATAAATAAATAAATAAATAAATAAATAAATAAATAAATAAATATTACGTGGAACCCCCTGAATGCACTGGCCTACAACATCCATCTAGCCACGAGTTCAAATTATGCCATGCCACCAGTAGGGCTAGTGGACAATGATGCAAGTTGTAATCCAAAACATCTGGAAAGAGCTGGATCCGCACAAATGCTATAATAAATCTTACAATGATGTTAGTACTGTATAAAATGACAGATTACAAAGAATTTCTAATTTGACACAGGAGAAACGGGAAAAAAGAAATAGGAACATTTGTGTTAGCAGTTTAACTACAGTTAACTATAGTGGATTATGTGACAGTCGCTTTGAAGTCAGATCATGTGAAAGTTGCTTTGAAGTCACATGTTTAGATAGTTGTGCTGAGCACAAAAGGAAAAGGACTGACTCATTTGAGAGAAAAGACCTTTCGATTATTTAGGGTGATGGAACTGCAGGAACAAAACTGAAATTGGGATACAGAATGGTAGAAAGAATGAGGTATAAAGGTTTGAAGAGTTTTGAAAAGAAAACTTGGAGTAGACAGGAAGATAGTGAAGGGTGTTATGGCATGTTACATGACGAAAGCCAAAAGAAATATGAGTAATTACTACTAGATAGATGTAATAGGATCAAGATGACACAGTGGCAGTCGATAAATATATGATAAAGATTTTTTCGGTGGTGCAAAAGGCAATGATGCCAAAATGGCAGTGCAGAGTGATCTCATCATATAAATTTAGCAATTACGTATTTGTATCTCAACTTCTAAAATAATTATATAACTTGTCATTTGCTTCTCTGTGTGTGTTCATGTTTCTTATTCATGAATGTTTCATTTTTAAAAAAACTGATAATTCCGAGATTTATATCTTCTTTTTTATATATAAATGTGCTCCACTGGAGACTGGAACAGACTTTGATTTTTGTTTAATCTCATGGTATCACTCATGGTCTTGTTGAATTTGAGCAGAGGTTTCCCCAAACAGATTCGAATTTCCCGGCTGGGAGAGCGCCGCAGACACGACGAGTAGATTAACGAGCGAAGCGAGCTACATGAAAACAGGATTCTTTATTTTCGTTTCAGGAAGACGGATCCAGCAACTGCACAAACCAGCGTTCCTGGGTGAGCTGACATCGTTACAAGGTAAGCGTACATTTTTATACTTTTCTGTACAAAGGAATTTCTTTGTTTCTTTTGTTGCTTTTGTGGGTCTTCCCTTTGTGTGTGTGTGTTCATGGATTGCCCTGTGTTTTCTTATTCTAGTTTTTCCCCACTTGAAACTGGGTGGTGTCTTGGTTATTTGGTCTTGTGTTCTTTTGTTTCCTTCTGTTTCTATTATTTGCTCCTTGCCTTAAACTGATCATGTTGTTATCAGGTAAGCCCTCCCCCCGCTCGACTCTTATCAGATTGCTTGGGCTATTGATTAAATCTTTTCCTTAGCTAATCCTCTGCCATTCCTTTTGTTTTGCTCTCCTAGTTTGTGCTGTTTTGATAGTTTCTTTCCTGGCATGTCCTGGGTCTTTTGTGTGTGTCATTTCCCTGGGTCCTCTTTTGTTCCTAAATGGCCCTGATGTTTATGTGTTCTATTTTGGGAAGGTCATTTTCCTATGCCTGTGGCCTTTACCTTTCTGAGTTGATCTTGTACTATGAGGTGTCATTATGTCTTACTGGCCCCGGCACTGTCTTGGTGGTGTCCCACTCCTACAGTCTATATCACGGGTGTCAAACTCAAGGCCAGGGCCCTGATCTGGCATGCTTGGATCTGGCCCATGGGGCCACCCTGGAAATAGCAAAGGATTGGCCCACAGTGCCTCTGCCAGCAAAAACGGAGCTCAGACGGATCAGGGGCGGCCCTCCTGAGTTCATTTTTGCTGGCAGAGGGTTGCAGGAGGCCGTCGCAGCCAAAAACAGAACTTGGGAGCCCGTTTTTGCTGGCAAAGCCCTTGGGCCACCACAAGCGCCCCCAATGTGAGTGACATCAAGCTGGCCACACTCACCCTGGCCACGCCCACCCTGGCCTCGCAAGGTCAAACACAATCTTTTTTTTAAAAATATAATCCTTATTTACATTTTCCATTAAAAAAACACAAAAAAATAACAACACACCATATAAATAACATACAAGACAACATAACAAATAACAAACATATCTGCAAGTACATTATATTCCGAGGGAGATAGAACGACTTATATCTCTTTATACATCAATTAGGTCTATCCGACTTCACTTTGTTAGTATAATATAGGTTTCTCAATAAATACTTTTCCTCTTTTCAATTGGGTTGTATCTTTCTCTTTGCTAATTTTTCCCAGGATAAACATGTTTGAGTTAGATCTTTATCTTTTAATTTTTTAGTCAATTTATCTGCACAATCCAAAATCTTTTTTATAATTGTTTCCTCCGATGGAATATTTTTATTTTTCCAAAATTGTGTGTATATCAATCTCGCCGCTGTGATGATGTGTAGGGCTAGGTACCATAAGTCTTTTTTTATATTATATTTATATTTATATTATTAAGGTCAAACACAATCTTGATGTGGCTGTCAATGAAACTGAGTTAGACACCCCTGGTCTATATTGTTTCATATTCACATTTTCCTGGCTTTCACAAAGATCAAAATAGTGGTAACTTTCTTCACAAGAGTAACAGACCTAATAGATTAGCCTAGATCATTCTCGGTCAAGCTATCTCTTCTAACAATTATATGAATGATAGCAGTGAAGACACCTAAATAGAGATCAGAGTATTTTCATATTGTTCTATATGTCATAGAACTAGAAGAACAAGTACTTATGTACGATTAAGAGCTAGATATTTGTAATAAATTATGTTAAAATTTATGAAATCTAAATATCTCTTGTAAATGTATCTTTCCCATTTCAAATTCCTATTGGTGAGTGCCTAAAGAGCATGAAGAATACCATCCTTCATATTCTTACAACCAGCATCTCTTTCAGTGAATTAGAAGTGTAAGAACTAGGTAGTATCTTGCTTTTAAAGAAAGTTCGAAAGCCACTGTTTATCATTAGCACTATTAAGAACTGAAAATATCTATTGATCTATTATATCAACTCTTAGTTTGGGATAAAGCTCAGCTCCAGAACTGGCTTAATTTCAGGGCTTGGTCTACACTTTTTGAAAAAGTAATTTACTAAAAATATCTACAAATAACAAAGATGAAAGTAGCTCTGACTTCTGCCTCTTCGGGGAGATGCATGGCACATAAATATCAGGGAGAATGGTGAGATATAAATTTAATGAATAAATAAAATGTGCTGATTATCTTTTCTTCAACACTGAATAGTCATAGCTATTCTCAGACTTCAATCTGAAACATTGATTTTGAAATTTTATCTTTTACCATATTTAGAAAAGGAATTAATAGCAAAATAATAGTATAATTATTCATTCTCCATCTATAATTTTGTAACAGTACCATAATATTTTGGTCTTTGGTCAATAGTAATTGTACTATTGCAGAAATAATACTATTCCAACTTTCATATAGTTTTATAACTTCTATTTTCAGAAAGCCAGAGAATACAGGCTATGCCATTAATGTTATTGTGACATAAGTGATTC